TTCCTCATCTTTTTCTTTTTTTAATTAAAACTTAATGATAACAAAACGACGCTTTCTCAACTCGAAAAAAGTGACTGTAAGTTGAATTCCCACTGATTTTTTAAAAAAAAGAAGGAAAAAAAAAACAAATTTTCTCGCCAAGAGACGACGCTAAGCCAAAATCATATTTCAAGAACGAGCTTTTTCAGTGTTCAGTTTCAAGAGATTTCGCGTTCAAGAAGAATAATTCTATGAGGCTGAAGGGCCTTGGATTTTTTCCTGTCGACAATCACAAATTAGCATAAAAGTAATCGCACTCAGCTAAACAAAAGAGTGTTACCCTCAGTGTTACTCAACTATTGCACATAATTGGTTTATGATTTCGCTTCGTGCAGGATTGGATGATCAAATCCAATGAAAAACAAATGCACTCGGAGTTAAAGGCGTATGATACAACTATTTCACCTCTCAAGTCGCTCAAATTGCATAGGTATCCAATTGAAGGAGAACTGAAAACCTCATGCTCGCCCACGCTACGCCGTCTCTCTCTCAGTTTACAGAGATGTTTTCTTCGAGTCAATTTTGTCATCGGAATTGAGGACGAATGGAAGAAAGAGAAAAGAAAGGCTGAGAGAAAAGGAGAAAAGAATGAGAGAATGAAAGGAAAGGCAAATGACGGAAAACTGTGGGAGACTGTGACATGACGACGCTGTAAATGCTGGAGAACAGAGAACTCGAAGGCCGAGCTCATTGAATATTACGAAAACTCATACCAACCGAAAAATTGAAAGAAGTAAAAATTCAGTCATATTTCATGCACGTTGAGTGTAAATGGTTAAATCATGTGACAGTAAAGAGCCTACCAAATAACATAAAGATGAACATTTACTGTTTGGTGACAGCTTTTAATTTCAATGGTTTACCTGGGGTTTTGTGCGTGTGTCTCTCCAATTTTTACTTTCTGTTCTGTTTCTTTTCCCCATTTTCCCTTTGTTTCACTCCTAATTCCAACTGCTAAGCTACTACAGAACAGCAAATCTTTTACGAACAAACTAATTACGGGTATGATTTTCAGTTTTCCTTCATTTCGAGAGCTATGCAATCTGAGCTACGCAGGAGTTATAATAGTTGTATCGCGCCTTCCGTTTTCACTCCCGATAAACGAGTCGGCTCTTTATAATCGTTGTACTCCTGACGAAGTCCAAGATGTACATTTCAGAAGTGTTTGCCGGTAATTTTTGAAAAGAAAAAGTTAATTCAATCTTGTGAGCTTGACCAGAAAGCCAAGATTGAAATTGAAGGTTAATTAGGTACGAAAACGAGTCAAGAAGGATTCAAAGGCTCAGCGCTAAGTGACCTCATCCGAAGAATCAGCTTCCTCCACGGGAGGAGAAAGTCCGACATCATTACTGACATTAAGGTGATTTGATGGACGCCATATTTCGTGTCAGAATGGCATGCGATATATCGCATCAATTGCTTCCATTTTTTCAGCTACTCGTCATTTTTCTCCAATTTTGAGATCGCAATTCTGTTGTCAGGAGACTAAAGCACTCACTTACCAATTTTAACAAATAAATTCAACGTAATAAAGGCTTGGTTTTTTCACAGAGAAAACATCGCATGCGATACTGATATCGAAACTGCACTCGAATGCGATATTTTCTCTCTATAAAAACCACGCCTTTATTACATTGAATTTATTTGTTAAAATTGGTAAGTGAGTCCTTTATAGTCTCCTGACAACAGAATTGCGATCTCAAAATTGGAGAAAAATGACGAGTAGCTGAAAAAATGGAACCAATTGATGCGATTTATCGCACGCCGTTCTGACCCAAAACATGGCGTCCATAGAATCACCTTAAAATGGCTGGTATGTATCAGTTTTGATAAATCTTGACTTTTAACAGATCTTTCCGAATTTATTTTCATATGCGGAATATTACTTTAATGAGGATGTTGAAGGAAGAGATGTTTCAACAATAGAAAAATGATGATTTTCTATAAATTTTTTCTATTATTTTTATTGTTTTATTTATGATTCTGTACAATGTAACAGATTTTCCCCCCATTAGATCGAAATTTTTGATGTTTTCAAGCTCGGAAATCCCCAAACAATTATTTATTACAATTGATTCTCATCATACGGATATTTTTTTCCCTAAGCTTTTCACATGTAAGAATCCTCATAATTTTCTGACGTACAGACATTTGTCATGAACTTTAGTCCAAAATCGTTGCCATAATCCAGGAAAAAACATGATTTTTCTCCCACGCACACACGCACACACAAAAATACAGGCTGGGCCTCGTAATTTGGACCGCGGTGGTAGTGCCGATCCCGAATCCGGTTGCCCCGAAAAAACACCGGAGTGCTTTCCGACCATGAGCCCTGGAATGAACGGCCGTAAACGGGGACTAAGGCTCAACTTGGATTGGTCCATACGCTGTTTTGTCCTTTCTCTCTCTCGAACTCATTGCTCAGATGCGGCACGTCAAAGGAGCACACTCGGCTTTGAAACGCCGGCCCAAGTGTCGTCTATCTCTCTCCCACTCATTGATCAGATGCGGCAACCCGCGCCTCGTCAAAGGGACACACACACACTCGCAAAAATACAGGCTGGGCCTCGTAATTTGGTCCGCGGTGGTAGTGCCGATCCCGAATCCGGTTGCCCCGAAAAAACACCGGAGTGCTTTCCGACCATGAGCCCTGGAAAGAACGGCCGTAACCGGGGACTATGGCTCAACTTGGATTGGTCCATAAGCTGTTTTGTCCGTTCTCTCTCTCGCACTCATTGCTCAGATGCGGCACGTCAAAGGAGCACACTCGGCTTTGAAACGCCGCCCCAATTGTCGTCTATCTCTCTCCCACTCATTGATCAGATGCGGCAACCCGCGCCTCGTCAAAGGGACACACACACTCGCACCCTCTCACCCTCACACACCAAAAAAAAATTAATCAAATTATCGGTGGCAATAGTTCCAATATTAATGGCTAAGAGAACCATACTGCTCACCTACCTGCAAACTGACAATTTTACAGGATGAAGGAAAAAATTCGCCATTTTCGTAATTTTTAGTGCAGGTTCGCAATCTTTTTGTAGATTAGACCGTCCTTTCAGCGCTCCCACGCGGAATCGGAAGAAAATAAAAATGTCATAATGCCTATTTTACTCTGACGAATGATGATTCGCCAACGCATCTTCGTCAAAACCGTCTTTTTAGTCTCAAGCTTGAAGAGTCTCGAAGAAAGAGTAAGACTCTTTCAAAACTTGCCTCAAAATTTTAGTTTTTTATTTATGCAATACCTTGTATAGCTTTCTGCTTGACGGCGACGTTGTCAGATGTAACGTGTGCCGGAAATTATTTTGTGCGGAAACGTCAATCACAATCCCTGTGCAGAAATGTCAAAATCCCAAATTTTATGCGGAAAATCCATAGCATTGGCGAGGCGTGAAAGATCGATCGATATATCGCAAAGCACGCCACGCCACTAACGCCCTCGAGAGTATCTTGAGGTGAAACGACCGCGCTTGACGAAGCGGCCGACGTCGCACAGTGGATAGAGTCAATGAACGAGGTCGGACATGAAATTTTTGACTAAAAATGCAAATTTTGATGTTTATTTCGTCACATTTTAAATGTCAAGGGGTGCTTTCCATAGAAAATTTCACGAGAAAACCAACGAAACCACTTTCAGAACGATAATGTTTCGTATGAACGGAGTTATAAGCGTTTAAAGTTTCCGAATTTTGTCCGACCTCTCCTATTGACTCTATCCACTGTGCGTCGGTGACGTCGAAAATGAGGGACGATCAACGGGGGCCGCAGAGCAAACAAACGAAAACAAAGCGAAGCGTCCGTCGCGTCGTCGTCGACTCGTTTCGTTTTCCGCGGAGAAAACAAAAGTGATAAAGACTCGAATCGACAATCAACTGTGAAGCAATTTCACACACAATCGGACGGGACTTGGCAGGCCCAGGCGCGGGAATGACCAAATCGGGCCCCGGTAGAAACCGACCCCGGCCCCGGCCTAAACCGCGCAAGTCCAACGGGAAACCCGCGAGGATACGCGGTTCAGAGGCGGTCGTAACTGGAGGTGCGGCGGTGCGGCCGCGCAGCGCCCCGACGGAGAAACAGCATCGCTCAAAATGTCTATATTGGATAATTAACTTTCTACCGACGAAATCCAAGGCCAATGGCGGTCTTTTGGCGTCCTCTAAGCCGGCTTTTGAGTTTATACAAGTGGGGCCGTTCAGGTATTACGTAAGCTTCTTAAGGGGGGCCCAAGGTTGCCTTACAAGGATCTTACGAGATCCCACTTTGAAAAAGTAAGATGTTATCTAATATTAAGAAATTTTTCCCGTTTCTCTGTATATAGGATTTAGATAAAGATAAAATATTGCTACGTCTGTTCTCCCCTCTGATTGGTGCACTAATTTTACATCTTTCATATAGGACGCAATATAAACAAACCCGATCTCAAGGAATGGGTATTTTCCAAGGGGAAATGAATTCTTCAGTAAATTCGTTCCAGATGCCACCATAACTGGATCGCATGTAGCAAGAAGGAACCAGCGTGTTTACAGTGTTTTTAAAATCTTGCGACTTCTTTTTCCTATAAAAATAATTATTTACGTACGGTATTAAAAAGTACACAATTATTTTCCTTTAAAATCAATAATTTGTTTCAATGAGAAGCAAAAACTATTTGCTATTCTGGGAGATTTTTTTAGATAATTATGAAGAAGCAACATTTTTACAACACCGCAATTGCGCTGGTTCCTTTTTGCTAAATGCAATCCAACCTAGCTCTTTGAACGATTTAACTTCGTTTTTGAGATATTTTAGTTTTATCCTCTTTACAGAAACTTAAAAAAAATGTATTGTTTTCAGAGATATTTTAAAAACATCTTTTAAGCGTCATTGTAAAATTAGGGATGCGTCTATACTTTCTTCTGCACTTACGGATTTATTATGAATGAATAGAGTAATTGAATAATTTTTTGATGGTTTTTCAGCGAGGACTCGCCGGTATGCCAGCCAACGGTACTGTTCAAGCGGACCCGCCACCACAAAGGCTCCATCTACTGCATGGCCTGGACCCCGATTGGTGACCTCATGGCCACAGGATCTAACGACAAGACCGTCAAACTCATGCGCTTTAACGCCGAAACTTCCAATCTAGAAGGTAAAATCATTCCCCATCCACGAAATGTTCTCTCCGAGATTCTAAACAAATCTATGGACTGGGTCAGTTCCGCTAAGTCACAGAAATCGTGTCTTGGTGGTTCAAGCTTAGGTACAAAACTGACACGTATGATGAAAAAAAATTTATATTGTTTATTCTGAGTCTTCCGGCGTCTAAAAACACAAACATGTAAAAACCACTCAACATTCTTACTTAGATGTGTATTTTGAATTGTACCTACATATCGACGGTGAAAGTACCAAACCTCGTAACTCGTTTGCGGTGTTTAAAAATCTACGCTCACATTTTATTTTTTTGAAGTAGACCAAATCAATATCATTCCTTGAAATTTTCAAGGAATTTTCTCCTTACAAAGAGGAAAAATCACAGAAATTTTCAAGACTGGATGTTAAGTAGTTTTTCATTTAAAAAATAAAGTATGACAGGAAGTCTGCGACGTCGCAAACCGAGATACGTGGTTTGGTAGTTTCACCGTCGATATAGGTGGTCACGTCGTGCCCAACTTGAACGAGTAGATTGGTAAATTTTCCGAACATTTTTCGGAAACTTTACAATGTGGCGATAAAAAGCAGGAATAGTTGTTTTCATCGGCACAGTATGTAACGCTGAAACGAAGTTGTGTTGTAAGCGAAACAAACGTAGCGCCCTCAGTTAGTATCGCATGCGACAAGCACTAAACGAATTTCTTTATATCGCGTCGATGCAACTATTCGGGCTCCCTGGATGTCCGTGTTGCATACGCGCCGACGTGAAGGCGTTTCGGCTCTCCCGGCACCTATAGTTTCACCCGTGGGGAAGCGCGGCGGGCTCAACCGCGAGAATCCAGAATGACAGAGCGCCCTCAATTTTTCGTGTGTATTACGGAGATACTTCTCAGGCACGAGTAGCTGCGCTCTAAAGCATGCTCAGCACGTCGCTATGCCAAAACTCATAAACAAAAGGTACTCATACCCTATACGCATGTGTTCAACTATTTGTGCGTAGTGTAGGTATGTCTTGTAGCATGAACGAAGAATTGAAGGCGCCCTGTAATTTTTAATTGTTGCAGTGCAACCCGCCTCAGCTGCGCCACGGGTGAAGTGGTGAGTATCTGCAGAGTGAGAACGCCTTAACTTCCGTGGTTATGCAACACGGACATCCGCGGAGCTCGAATAGTTGCATCCAGGCGTTGTAATGAAATTCGCTTGGTGTTCGTAGCTTTGCTCGTTTCTCTCACAACTCAATTTAATATCAGCCTCGCTCATTGCATCGATGAGAAAACTATCAATTTTTATTATTGTGACATCGTCAATTTTCTGCAAAATGCTGTGATTGTTTAAATGTGTATTAGAACGTTGCCCTTCTATAATTCGGGCCGCAACCCTGCAATTCTTGATATGGAGTCCGGCGGATGACGTCATACACCGTGTTCTTCGATGGGCTTAATAGCTCCGTCGATAAAACGGACGTGAAAATTTGGCATTTGAACAGATCTTATTATTTTTAGCTTATTCACTAGCTTAAATCATCAAAACACGACTCTGTGACTAACGCAACTCACCCATTAGATTCTGGAATAAAAATGGAATTGAAAAATACTTTGGCACCAAGAACGCCAAAATATGTCAAACCTAGACACATTTTTTTACGGTTCAAAGATTGCAGTCAATTAAATCAAGTGCATTTTTGTGAACAATGGGGTGGGGGGGGGGGAGCAAATGATCCACTAGACTTGCTACAAATTGAAGCACCAAAAAATTTCCTTCATCAAAGTTTCTCACAGAAGTAGTCCAGTAGTAGTGTTTTGAAAACCTAAAATCAATTTTGTAGTAAGAAATACATGTCAATAATGTGCATTAAAATCAGTAATTTTCCCTCCAATTCACTGTCATTAGCCGATTATCTATTTAAATTCTTCATACTTAGTGCTCATTACTTACAAAAATATCATAATTTTCACTTTAAAACCCTCCTGACTGGTGAATACTTCTCTCATACCTACATATTAGAGCTTCGGCTTGTTTTTAATTATATTTTTGAATGTTCGTTTTGGAAGCAAAATATTAATGGGAAATTTCTCTATTTCAGGTCAAGAGATAGAGTTGGCGATGCATGATGGGACGGTAAGAGACCTTTGTTTCCTGGAGGATACAAGCAACAAGTCCTCTCTGCTCATCAGTGGTGGTGCTGGCGACTGCAAGATTTACGTCACGGACTGTGCCACTGGCCAAGCTTACCAGGCTCTCAGTGGTCACTCTGGTAATCACCATCTCTCTTCATCCATTTCATATTTGGTTTATATCAAATAAGCTATTGTTAAAATGGTTCGTCAAGCTTAAGTGACGTGGTGGAACTGGCATGCGATATATCGCATCGATGAGGTAAAAAATCTCGGCAGGTTTTGAATTTATAGCAAAAAAAGGACGATATCCCCTGGGCATGAGCCTAAAGAATCATTCTAAACCTTAAAATCGGTAAAATTTAGCGAAATGAAAGCGAATGGTGTTTGGAAAAAAACCCCGCATTCGATCCAGTTATCGATTTCTGTATCGAATGCGAGGTTTTTTTCCAGACACTATTCTGCTTTCATTTCTCTAAATTTTGCCAATTTCTGGGTTTAGATTGATTCTTTAGGCTCATGCGCAGGGGCTTTTGTCCTTTTTTTTTTGCTGAAAATTCAAAATTTGCTGAGATTTTTGACCTAACCAATGCGATGTATCGCATGCCAGTTTGACAACGTCATTTGAGCTTAATGAATCACCTTTAGAGCCAAAAAATTTAATCAACCTTTTTAAAAAAATCGAGTAATTTGCATTCTCTGTACTCTTTCAGTAGAAATATCTTAGAAGATGTTGAGAAATTGGCTGTCACATCTAATTTCTTGGATACCTAGGCTTAAGAATTTCAAATTGCTGTGAAAGATGGGACCCCCGCGTGGCATGTTTTTAGCTTTGAATGACAGATTCTTGATAGTACGAGGCATTTAGTCTCAGAATTTGCCATTTTTGCAAAGTTAAAAAAGTTAAGATGTAGCAAAGAAGTAGGCCTCTCCTTAGAAAACCCTCAATGCTTTCCAAAAAATAAAACTGATTTTCTCTCGCAAAAAAGAAGTTTCACTACATGGAAAGAATCTCATGTTCAGTAAAAGATACCAATGAATACCCTGACTTTTTGAAAGGGAAATGAGCCCTAAACTCCGAATGTGTATTGGAAAGTTTGGAACCCGCAGTGTTTAAATTGTTTATAAATTTCATGGAAAACCTGGCATTATAGCTTTTGTTTCTCGTGAGTTTGATCAAAGAATGTTGAAAGCTATTCAATTTTGCGCTTGGTAGATTAGTCCAATGTTGTCTGCAAAAGAGCACTTGGGTACAAATGTATCATGCGCCGCACCGCAGACACATCACACATAAATTATGATACTTTTCGACTATTTGATAATGCAACATAATTTTTTGGACCTTTGATTAAAATTATATTGCCTTGAGCAACCATTGAATTAAAAAACCTTTTTTTTACTTTGAATAGGTACTATGTTGTGCGAGTTTAGAGAATCGCTCCAAAACGGTTTTAGGTACCCTTAAAAAACTTAAGAATGGTTTCTTTGTAAAGAGAACATACTCAATTGCTCAAATGACAGCATTCCTCCCATACCTTTGTAATCGGTCTCTTTGAAATAATTGATGAATATCGTCCTCTCATCGTTGTATTTAAATTTTCAGGGCACGTACTTTCTCTTTACAACTGGGGTGGTGCCATGTTTGTGAGTGGTTCTCAGGACCGAACAGTCAGATTTTGGGACTTGCGGACTCGAGGCTGTGTTAACGTCATTACTCCTGTCACTGTTCCAGGGACCAAGGTAAGCCCCACCCTCATTTTTCTTCAATTGGCTCAATTTGGGATGTTTTATCAAAATTTTAATAGATCAGTAGACAAGGTACGAATCTAAGTATTCTGGCACATGTTTCTCAACTAAAATTTTATACAGAACACGATTAGAGCAACGTAAATTACTGAGATTGACTCTCAACTAAGATATTAATGTTTTCAATGTTAGTGTTCAATGAAAAATATTTCATTGAACAACGTTGCCTTGTCTTACAAAAAAAAAATTCCAGTTGAATATTAATTATTCTGGATTCTGGATTTATCTGGATAGCTCTCAAAAAAAGAGGAATAATATGTTATGTATTGTCGCACGTCTCATGGAATTGTTATGTCCGACAAGATATGACCAATGTATTGATGAAAATATGTACAGAAGAGAAACAAGAAAGACTAATTCATAGCATCTAGGACTGGAAAAACTGGGATTTGTCAGGAAATGAAATTTCAGAACTTTTGAGACATGTTTTCTGTAATTTTCGAAATTTTGAAATGAAAGTTTTATCTACCCCTACTCGATAATTCCTAAAATTGGTGATAATTCTTTGGTGCATGCAGCAAGGAAGTGCGGTGGCAGCAGTGTGTGTTGATCCATCCGGCCGACTTTTGGTTTCTGGTCACGAGGATTCTGCGTGTGTTCTGTGGGACATTCGCGGAGCTCGAACCCTGCAATGTTTCAAGCCACACTCAGCGGACGTACGCTCCATCCGCTTCTCACCCAGTGCCTATTACCTTCTCACGGCAGGTTACGATAACCGACTTGTTCTCACCGATCTTCAAGGTAAGGTTTCAAGTTTATTTTAGATGAGTAGCTTTTCTAATCAGACGTGCTTATACTAAAAGGAACTGCTGTTCGCAAATTTTATGCACGTCGACGCTTTTCTTTGTTTTGTTCGGTAGCCAGTGCTATGGTTTAAAATGAAATTGTTAACTCACTAGTACTGGCTACCCAACAAAACAAAAAATTACAGAAAGTGCCACTACCGTAAACTTGTACATCAACTCTTTTTAAAAATAGACTCTTTTGCTTAAGTACATTCAATTTAGGATCATTTACTTTCAATTTGTGGTATCATATTATTTAATTGATAAAATTTAACGAAAGGTGATAAAAATTTAGTCAGAAAATTAGCCAAAATTCTAAGTGATCACAACCTGCCCAAAATGATAATAGGTAATCACTTTTTCCATTTTGTTAAAATTAGACCATGACCTGTTTTAATTGCACTGAATCTGATTAACACAGGAATTAGATTAATTAAATGAATTACAAATAATTTTTCTCAAATATACTAAACGATATAGATATATTCTCGAAGTGATACATTTATGGTAGAATTCCTCTAAAAACGAGGAAAGTAATGCAAACGGTAATGGGCAATTCTACCATGAAATTGTGTTTAACGGCAGCACTTCTATTAACATTAATTTGATGCAATTGATTTGCAAAGCAATAATGATTAGTCCTGCAATATTTCACGAGACAAGATGCCCTGATTTCTTAAACATGGCTTGTTGTGCTCAAGATATGTTACATATCTTGAACATAACAAGCCTGAATCACAAATTCGAATTTTGACTCTTCTTATTGAACTCAATAGAAAACTTCTGTAGATTCTTATGTCTTTCAATTTTTTAACATTCATTCAATCATTTTTATTTTATTCATTTTTTGCAGGTGATCTAACAGCGCCATTACCAAGCGTTGTTGTTGCACAGCACCAAGACAAGGTTATTTCAGGTCGATGGCACCCGCAGGAATTCTCGTTCCTCAGCACAAGTGCGGACAAAACAGTCACTTTGTGGGCTCTGCCCCCTGTCTAAGTACCGGTATTATAAAATATAAATGGATCATGTTTACCTGTTTCTTTTTTTCTTTGTTTGTTAACATAGTTATATTTTTTCTACGAGTTTAATTGCCACAGTTCACGTTCGCATTATTTGTTTAGTCAGAATGATGAGGGAATTAGGCAATCATTAGGAACAAAGAACCACTTGGATTTAACTTAATAATACAAGGTGACAAACTATAGATTATAATGTGACTAATATTCATGAAGAAACTCTAATGTTGTTACTGTAAAAAATTTAAGTATTCTCCCAATGTATTTAGCGTTTTTATGAGTCATATTTTAGTTTGAATAATCTTCTGTTTAATCTCATTTCCAAACAAAAAAATGTTATGAGATTTTATAATACTCACAATGACAGTATTTCTCCTTTTTCTTTCCTTTACGAGATTCTGTTTGGACAAAATACAGATCAATTCCACCATACCCTCTTAAATTTTTACAAAACATGGATTTAAGTGCAACATGTTTAGATGGATACTAAAGTTTTATAATGAATTTGTAATTATTTTCCTGATTAATTTGTTGTCTTTCATGAAGGAACGTATTTTCATTGCACTGGTTCTGTATTATGGACTTATACTTTATTTGTTTTTAGGAGGACCATCAGATGCATTCCCTGAAATTTTTTGTAATTTTTCTATACCCTAAAATACTCTGAAGTTTTCAGACTTATTTGTGCGATGGTTTTCCCAAGGAAAAATAAAACACTCATGTAGGTGTACCTACTGAAACAGTGCAAGCGAGATACACTCATTCATGCCAGAGGCAACGAATTTCCCTATTGGTGCCTGTTTTGCTAATTTTTGCTGATAACGTAATCATAACCTTATCAACCTAGTTTTTTATAATTTTTTATATAATTACAAAAGGACAAAACTCAGTGAGCTTTCATAAAAAGAAAAAAAAAAAATCGCTTGAAGTGCAATGTAGAGTTAGCTAATCAATGTAGAAATTTAAACAAAAATAAAAAACATCAACTTCTGGTTTTTCTTTATTTTGTAAATGGAATAGATATACCTATCTGCAGTGCAATTTTCAAGGAACCACTTCTAAAGAACTCAGCAGGCTGATCCTTGAAATTGATGGACAGAGCCGTAGATAAAGGAGACAAATGGAAAATGGAGAGATCCCATCGGTTGAAACGGGTGGTTGTTATAGACTAAGAGGGAAAATGACTCTAGCAGGGTGTCTAGCATCAGGAAAAACCGGAAAATATCAGGAATTTTGGCCGATTAGGAAAATATCAGGAAAATCAGAAAAATCTCACGTTTTATCAGGAATTTTTCTTATGCGAATCTCCTCAGCGGAGAAGTCTTGCTGCTTTTTGCCTACCGTGCCAGGAGTCTTCGCGCCGTCTTTGTTTCCGATAATTTCTCACCTGTAGCACTTGTGTCGTATAGTGAAGGCCTCATCGCAGTGTCGCCATCTTTACGAAATCAAAATTTTCCATCCATCTTCAGCGCCTGTATTTTATACTCATTTTATACTGTATTTATACTAGTTTCTAATCAAAAGAACTTTATCAGAAAATCAGTTTCCGCATGCATTTATGCAATAAATATAGTTTTTACAAGAAAAATCAGGAAAATATCAGGAATTTTCCAAATGAAAAAATCAAGAATTTTTTATAAAATATCAGGGAATATCAAGAAAATATTGGGATTTTTCAAAATTAAAAAATACTGGACACCCTACCTAGGGTCTAGGGTCCCTCGTGGCTCCCCCTAGTCATTCTATTACTTACATCCTTTGTCCATTGCAGTTGACAGCTTCCACCAATAGGATTGCTCCATTTTCTCTTTGTATCCTTGATTATCATTTTGTCTACCAATTCCAACGAACAACCTGCTGTTAATGTTCAAGGCTCTTAAAAATAGTTCTCTCTCTTTGTTTTCATTTCGTCATTCACCAGTTTCGGTGTAGTTGTTAAGTAAATTTTTTCTTTATTTTTTTATACTAATGAACTTAATTTCAAAACTAACCGAACATATTTGGCTAATAATCTTAATTGTCTATAAAGTTGTAAATAAACCTATGGATTTGTTACTAATTGCTTGTGATTTTAATAGAACAAATATTAATTACTTAATTTTTTTTTCAACGAAACTCTGATGGTCTTTAGTTAATCTACATTATCCTATAGTACTCAATCCTGAACGTGAATTATGTTCTTCACTAGTATACAGGGTGATCCTAAGGTCCCGCACCCCTAGCATTAGGCACCACCTCTGTGACTGCAAGGAATTGAGATGAAGACTTGGAATCTTGTGAGTGCTCCTAGGTCAAAGGCAACGACTGTTGGTAACCCCCCAAAGTTCTAGGGAAAACTTTTTGAAAGAGGGCAAGAACCCGAGGGGTTTTAGGGGAGGTGCAAGGCTTTTAGATCACCCTGTAGATACGTTTGTGATCAAAATTTTGGTGCCTAGGGAGTGATTTTGCTGTGCAACTCCCACAAAAACTTATTCAATTGTTGTTTAATTTTTGCCTCTCCTCCTCTTTTTCTTCTACTCAAGTTTTTTTTACCCCCAGTTAATAGATTTTGCATTTCAGCATTAAATCATGAATATTCCTTTCCGTATGATGACTTTCAAAGCTGAATCAAAACAAGGAGTGATGATTCTCATACACCTTTAAAATACAACGAGAAAGTTATATTAATACTTTAAAATTTTTGTTTGCTGCTCATCTGAATTTTATTTCTTTCCGGTGACGTCAAAATTGATGAAGGGACAGATCTGGAGGATTAGTGTCTGACCGGTCACTTCTTTCCTCTGTATTTCTCATGACGAATTTTTTGGTGTTTTTTCTTTCATCCCCAAAAATTTCCCTTGATCTGCTGCGTACTCGAAACTGAAAATACTCCAAAATCTCCTGGTAAATTTTCATCTCTTATTTAGCCGGAAAAGTGTACAATTCTATGCAAGTGTGTAAGCATATTGATGGCCTAAGTGCGGAACCACATCTCTGCACTGTGGTGTTTCAAAATTTCAGCTCTATTTTATTTTCTCGCAGAGAATCAAGTCCACTTTATAACTTGATATTTACCTAAACATTCTTCTAACTGAGAAAAAAAATCAAAGAAGTTTTCAAGACATCATACTAGCTTACTTTCTGAATAAAAAATAATTGTGGCAGGAAGTCTACATCTGTGCGAACAAAGATACCTTGTTTTGAATTCTGGCCATGGATATGTTTCATAATGTCACAATATTGTTTGGAAATCAACAGCTGTTCAAGTTCTTTCCTGGAAATTTATTTTTGCTGTAACTTTTTTTCAGAGATTATTCCATTAGTCTCTCAATTATAAGAGAATAACCTTGATCCGCAGCACTTATCATTGAAACTTGATCACTTTAATATTGCCAAATTATGCCTACACTTGTACAATTACATAAATACTCAATGTTGCAAATTTCCCATGACATAGTTTCCGTGAAGGTTGCATCAACCGGACAACATTTTGCTGTGAGAAACTGTCATATTCTGGCTCACTTTAGAAACGAGGTATGTCCTATTGGTTTCCCCATGCAGGTAAGTTATTTTATGGTTGAGCCAGGGATTCCAGTTTCTTATTGCAAAACGCAATCCCATTATTGTCTAAAACTTGTTCAAATTTTCTGTGTCCTGCCAACAGTATTAAAAAAATGAAATGGACTACATTCTGCAATAAATAAGTAATATTTTGGACTCATCTATACAAGCTAGTATCTCCATAGGGAATGTAATGGCACCTATGTTTTTTTTTAAAAAATTAGCCGAAATGGCAGTTCCTCACTGTAAAATGTAGTTCAAGTAATAGTGGAAATTTTCAAAAGCTTATTTTGAATATATACTTGTACCTCAAGCTCTTAATGTTGTTTCCAACAGGAATCTCTGATATAGTGAAAAAAATGTCGCTTTATATTTGTAATGTACATATTTTTAGCTCCTGTCAGATGTATGCGCACTTCCTTCTAGACAAAAGAAGAGATCACAGGTGAAAAAGTCTTATGTACCAAGGTTTCAAGGAACGTCACCCACGCATGCTCTATCAATGGTTTAATACATAAACTTGTCCTTGTTTTTAGTGCTGGCGAACCAACGCAATTACCTAACTACAGTATTGTCAATCGCGAGCAAAATTTTTTTACCTCGAAGAAAAATGGAATGCATGTTATTTTGATAAAATTTGCAGAGTGATTTTCTTTTAAGATGTCAATTTTTCAGCAGAAAAACCAGAAAAATTTGAGCCTCTAGGTATTTTTAAGATGAGAATTGAGTCGCATATTTCTGTAACTTTGTAACTGCGTTGGTTCCCTTCTGCTAAATTCGGTCCATTTTATTTTACAGGTAATTGGAAATAAAATCATGATACCACCGGTTTAAAGTCATCTGTAGCAAGAGAATTGAGAATTTTTTAGTGATCAATTGTTTTTAAATGCACAAAGATACATACCTCAGTAAAATTCAACTTTGAACCTGATTGGCTATTGTGCTTTTCCTGTTACTTTAGTTACTTTCGATTTTAAACAATTATACTTTTGTAAAATACTTCTGTAAATACTACCTGTACAGTCTCCATCTCTTCCTAAACCTTTATAGTTGATTTTGTTTTGTTTTTGCTGGAATTTCAGCCATCTTGCAATTAGTCCACCCTTATCTCCTCTCGATGGACTTTTCTTTCCAATGTTTTTTTTTTATTCTATTTATTTCCTTTTTGATTTGTAGACTAATTGTTTTGATTTTTTTTTTTTTTGGTCATGATTTTTTTACAAATATTGTTCAGTCATTTTCTTTTTCTCTTTCCCTTGTTAAGACATTCAAATAAATAATTTTATTAAACAAATCTTTGACGGTTTATTTTTTGTGCATTCTAAAAGACTCGTCCAAAATGAAATGATAAACCTCTGATAAATATTTTTGTTTGTTCTAACGTTTGGGGCGCTCAGAGATTTCATTCTTTTATTTTGTCAAAAACGGAACCAAAATTTCTGGAGTCGAAATGTTCCATAGCTCTCACTCTCCAAGTCCATGCTAAATAGGTTAACGATTTTTGTAAATAAATCAGAAGATCCCCCATCTTGATTCTTGTTTTTACGAGCAAAACTAAACTGAAGACTGCTGATCTTCCATCCCACTCTAACAGAGCAGAGACTTATTCGTCGTGGACACCACTCTAGAGGTACTTAAGGCTTAATTTGATTTTCCAAAATTTTTAAACGAACTCTTCTCACTGTTCTTCAAATGAAAAGTTCCATTTTTGGGCTGATAATTGCAAATATCCCCTAAAGCGTCGATCGGACATTGAAATGGATTCGATTTCCATAATACGTGGCTTTGATGCCTGTTGCCGAACCCAGTCCGATTCGAACCGTCTGCCACTTTTCCGCCACTCACTGATAGCGAATTAGAGCTCTGTTGTTCCCGCGCACGTAACCTGCTGACTGTAAGTCAAAATGGCTCTAGAAGCATGAATTCATATAAAATTCTTTCAAATAAATACAATACATATAATTTATGTACTATTCATTGTCCTAAGAAGTTTGAAAAAATAAGTAAACAAGGGGTTTATTTTCCCTTTGTGGTAGTTGAACAGTTGACCATCATTGTCGTCGTGAGAAACGCCACAGAAACGGCTAACTTTCGATTTTGACACTAAAAATTTAGTCCATGTCCCTGTCGAATTTTCTCGATATTGGTCGTGGAGAAAAATTTCGAGATTACAGTCGGGTCCAATGTAGTCGAAGGCGCTGAATCGATTGCGCATGGTCCCGAGGCTCGGCGAGGCCTTTTGAGCCGAGAAACCGTTAAAAACGAGTGATTCTGACCGTGTTGCAAAAGTGCGTTTTTCGTCGGTAGCGCGGTCCAGGGGACTCGTGGAGCTTTTCCAACCGGAAAATCGGACTCAACGGGTCATTTCCAAGTGGAGTAGCTTGGTTTCGGCTCGATCGGAGAACTTTCGATTTGGACCCCCGAAGTGGCAGTCCATGTAACCCCTGTCCAGTTTTCTTGATTTGGACGGGGAGAAAAATTTCGAGATTACAGTCGGGTCCTATGTAGTTGAAGGCGATGGATCGATTGCGCATGGTCCCGAGGCTCAACGAGGCTTCCTGAGCCGAGAAACGGTCACAAACTGGTCGGAAACGAGTGTTTCTGGCCAGTTTTTGACTGTTTCGACTCTAAGGCGTTTTCAGCGGATGGCGCGAAGCGAGGGACTCGCGGAGCTTTTCCGACTAAAAAATCGCACTCAGAGGGTCATTTCCAAGCGAGCTAGCTTGGATCCGGCCCGATCGGCGAACTTTCGATTTGGACCCTAAAAATTTAGTCCATGTAGCCCCTATCGATTTTTCTCGATTTTGGCCGTGGAGAAAAATTTCGAGATTACAGTCGCATCCAACTTAGTTCGACGTGTAGAATCAATTGCGGATGGTCCCAAGACTGGGTGGGATTTCCTGAGCCGTGAAATTTTAAAAAACGAGTGTTCTTGTGAAAGAGCCACCACTCGCGTTTTTTGGCCGTGAGGCTCGGTTAAGCTTCCTGAGTTACGAAACGCGTTTTTTTGAGAATGTTTCCTTAGGATCATTTTCCACTCGTCACTTAGTACAGCGCACTCCTGGAGTTTTTCGGACCAGCTAATCTAACTTTTTAAGTGATTTTACATTGGCTGAGCTTTGTTTCAGCTCCATCAGAGAACTTTTGATTTTGATCTGTTTTTTTTTGCAAGGAATGAAAAGTACGATTATATATTGGATATTTTCTTACAACTGAGATAAGTAGGCACATTATGTTCACGTAATTTTCAAATGTAAAAATAATTGGTTCTCACTTTCAATTACTGATTCAAAATTCGCGGTTGATCATGGTTTTGAGAATGCAATGATGTATAGAATCAACTTCTGCTATTTTGAGATAGCTAAAGAAGAACCTCAAAGTTTGGCTACAATGCGAGAACTTCTGAAACATTTTAAGACTTCATCTAATTTTCTTTAAAAAGACATGCTTGGTCCACTTTAACTTTTTATTCTTTTTAGTCCAGAGGAGCAAATTCAATTTTGTGATAATGGTGCAAGAATGTGATAACAAGGTTGGACGTATCATTCTTCAACTAGTTTATTTTCACTTTACCAAATTTTCGTTAGGTACATTGGAGTCAGGCATGCGTATATAGGCACATTTAGATATAAACACATACGTCTGAGTTGTAAATAGAGCTACATAAAAAATATTTTATTAAAACATTAGAATTTGTGAAATTTTATTTGCTTAAACCTGTATTGTCATTTCACTAGAGATTCAAAATCGATTTAAACAGAGGAAGTGAGTTCATACGTAATTAAATAGTTGACGGTTAACAAAAAAGTAACTAGTTACATGAAACATGAACAACAACCAAAACTATACTATTTGAAAAACAAGAGAAAGTATACATTTTGTACAAAATCATGATATTTCAATTTCATTTCTAAAGTATTCACACTAGACTACACATTTTAAAAAACTAAAATATTCCATTCAGAGGATACATTTAAAAAATACTTCCTTAAGGGATACATATGTACGTATTTTTGCTTCATTGCAAGAATGGAGGTCTGAGGAAAGATAGGAGACCCTATTTCATGTAAATTTACGGATTTCAGTTGCCTGAGTGTATGGCATTTGTGGCATCTGCGCTAACAAATGAAAACGGTAAAATCTGAAAGGAATTTTAATGATTTGCTACCCTGAATGTTTGATAAATCAATTGAAGGTAAAAGTTTGAGGTTCTCTTCAGTTAGAATCAGTTGTTGGAAGAAGTTAGACGTTTCTCTGAATCACTCTTAGGGTTAATTAATTTTAAGAGCTAAAAAAAGTCTTCGGTCTAAATCACTAAAGGAGATTATTTATTTTTATTCATTGAAATGATAAAGATCAAACTTACAGAGTCTCAAGTTTCAAGTTTAAAAATATTCTTTGGTGTCTAAGCCTGCTTTTTACAATTTTCTTTCTTCTGCAAGATAATACACAAAGCGATTGAATGTAAAACTCATTATAGAACACTTTATATTAAAATGCATTCCAGGGGAAAGGAATTTTTATTCCTTAAAATTACCTGCATTTTTCTTACCCTTTTCTAATTTCTTTATTGCGTTCTTGCGCAATTATACACTGGATGCAGGAAGGGAATTTCTTGGTTGCAATGTTCTAAAATCTCCGCTAACATTTCAAGTATAAAGAAGCAAATGCATGGGTTTTGAGGAGACTTTTAGTGAATATTTTTTTATGATTTAGCAATTTTTTAGACGAAAAATTCCAGAAAAGAAGTTTGCTCTCTGGAAAAGAAATTAGCAGCAGGGATTCTGAAGTACCGCAAGATTTGTTTATTTTTCCCCCCTTCAAATTATTGTTCAACGTTCTTTTTCAGTTCTCATTTCAAGCTTGTCACATAATTTGAAAAATAAAATTCTCTGACATTCCCCTGATTTCCCTGTTACATTTCGGTAAAATTCTCTGACAATAATTGGAGGTATGCTAGATGGTTACAAATACATAATTTGAAATGGTTTCCATTTAAAATCTGTTATTCGAAACGTCAAATCTATTCTAGAGAACAAAAAAGAGTGACTCAACGAATTTTCCCTGATACTTTCGTCATTTCCTCTGACTTCTTTAAAAATAAAATTCTCTGACAATTCCCGGTATTCTCCATATTCCCAGACTGTGGCGGCCCTGTGTTTGGATGGTTCCCTTTATTCTTTCCATTTCCTCAAGAATGCATCAGAAACAAAGAATACAAGTAAATTCAAAGAAACGATGACACAGAAACCAAACATTTGCTTATTTGAAGTTCTCGTCATGATATGAATTTATTCAAGCTTAACTTAATTACTAAACTGCACCAAAAGACTGCCTCCAAGTTACACCGTTCTGTATGATGTTCGAAATTTCAGAGTGCGCTACTGGCAAGAGAGGACCCAGAAATAAGCAAGTAGCTTGTATTCAGAGTCAACAGACATCAATGCAGTTGATGTCACTCTAAAGTAGTTTACGAAGCAGAGTACAAAGGTGTAGTCGATGATATGGATGGCCTATTGCTCGAAACTTTCTTCTGCTCTCGTCCAGCAGCAACATACGAGAACACACACAGGACAGCATAGCAAATCTGATTAGCCTGGGAAGTAAAAGAAAAACACATCAGTAAAATTTTGTTGACTTTATTTTTCATTTCTTTTCTTTCTTTCTTTCAAGCGTCCAGCCCACTCTCAAACTGGAGCTCACAAACAGGCACTAATTCTTCAATTTCTTAGCCATTACTGCTCGAAATTCCTTGAAAATTTCAAGATCTGATCTGTGATGTGTCCAAAACACATCGATTACTTTCAAAGATTGTCGGGCCGACGATCTTTGAAAGGCAGCAGTCAACAACTGCACCAATGTGCCAGTTTGTGGGCTCTAGTTTGTACGTGGGCTGCGCGCATTAGTTGAGGAAAGTTGAGAGATCGAACATTACACCAATGTTTTGGAGTATTTTTAAATATTGACAACTGAGAAGACTGCTCACGGCATGGTATTGTGGTCACAACCAGTTTAAAAAACCACAACGGTGTAAAAATACAGCAATAATACAGAGAGCTTAAAAGAAAATTTAAATTTTTTAAATTGAGAAATTTTCAGTGATGTTGATGATGTTATTGTTTAAAGTCACTGACTACTGACTAAAACCTTATCATCAATAACGTGCCAAGTGCCAAAAAGTTGATTTTGAGTGATTCACATTTTTATTTCTATAAACTGCTACAGAGCATATCATAGCCCTGACATTATCTTTCCGACGTTACATGCATTACTGTTGGTGCCATTTAGCCTGTTAAGCATACTGTTCTTGGTATCAACGTATGGTCTATTATCTTGCTTATGTGAATTGGAACAAATCAGGTAGAACATCCTTTTTATTTAGTGGGGCGGGTACTAACTTTTTTTTTCATTTACATTTATTTGGTAATCTTTTGAGATCGTTTGCTTAGCTAAAAATCAATTAAACTAATATTTTGAAAATATTACTTGGGTAATTATAATCTTTGATTTTGTTTTAAATTTTATAATCTAGTAAATTTTAATTGGGATGAAACAAATAAGACATATGTTGTTATAGGTAAAATTTGAGTTACATTTTATGGGTTTACCATATCAAAATTGTAGTAAAGTTGTTCGAGTTCAGGCAAAGATAAAGCACATACAATATATACTATATAAAATTTAATTACTGTTATTACTCTTGCAAACATATGCAGCAAAATGCCAAATCTAATTCAATCAATTCAATCAAGTTCAATTCTTGATTTGTTTGCACCTAACCCTTAGCCTGTTATTGACGATAAGTCTTTGATTGCGTTTGGAATCAACTGAGGGTACAAACCACTACCAAAGCATATAATTTACAAAGAACGAAAAATCATAGAAATGAACAGAGAAAAATTGTACAGGCAACTAACTATGGGACTAAATTATAAACAAGTTAAAAAATTAAAAAAAGCTTACAAAAGGAAAATAAAACGATGGAGCATGCAAACAGATGTTACGAGTCTGAATCGACCAGATCTTCTGCGAATTTTATGGATATGATTCGATGGAATGATATTATCAGCTTGTTACTCTAAAACAATAACAACAACCATGCAAACGAAATTACAAAATACAGTTAAGACGTACACTTACAACAAAACAAACAGTAGGTACAACAAACAGAAAGGGAATGTAAGAATGAAAAATAAAACAAGAGCAGGTGATTAAAGGGAAACAATGTTGAATAGCTTATTTTCTCGCTAAAATTAATTTTTGCTTTAGAAGGTAGCAAAGTGTTTATATGTACTGAAAAAATCCTGTAACCTCGACAAATCAAGAAAGGTCTATAAAAATTTCAATACAGATCCTTTTTCTGTGGATGGTCGTAAGTAGGTCTAATTTTTCTACAGCAACAAGTGAGATTTTTGTGGTTTTTTTGACGAATTGAAATTTTTTATATCCAGCACAGACCTCCGTCACATTCACTTAATAACATGAGTCTGCACTGACAGAAACACTGTGGTTTGATCGTTGATTGCTGTGTAATTATTAGCACCATAACTGAGAATGACCTTAGTTTTTTCCGGTACCCACCCCTTCTGCCACTATTTTTGAGAAAAATCAACTGAAGATAATTACATTTTCCGAGAAAATGGTGCATTGCAGAGAAAAACCGAGGTCATTTTTGGTTTCAGCAGCCATGTGATAACTTGCTTCCACGATTGCGAAATGCTTGAGCGATTCTCCTTGCTGTGTCACATGACAAAGTTTTCTGTTTAAATGGCATTTGCTCATATACTCCCATGTTAAACTGGTCTATCTGTCAATGCTTATCGGTATGGAATGCAAAAATGATTTTACTCAAAAGGCTATTCCCATGTTTTTTTTTTTGACTGCTGAATCTATAAGTGACCTTCCCTTCACTCTATCATACACAATATTTCTCGAAAATTAAAATTTCCTCTTGAGAGCTTGTTTTTGGAGAGAAAACTTAATTTTTTTTTTGAAAATCGTTCACAAAGCAGAAAAACTAGGGTCGTATTTGGATTCAGCATTGAAAGCTGCACAGGTATGGACCATCAAATCTTCATTCGCCTCTGTGCACTTGTTATAGAATTGTTTTTTACTGCATTGTAGCAAATTTATTGCTGTAATAATATGTTTGCATCTCAATAAATTATAGCTTTGAAGATGAATCATGATAGTTTATGAGACTTCAACCTTAACTGCTAATCAGCTTCGACTTGCAGTGGGGGGGTAGAAATGAAAATATTTGTCATAGCCTCAAGATCCTTTTTGACTTTACTTTCCAGAATTTTTTCATTTTCTTGTTCTTTGACTTTTTGCCCTAACTCCAAAACGGAATTCTGACATTTCTCTGACCTTCAAACAAAACTTTCACTTACATTTTGTCCATTTAATTATCCTGACTTTCGCTTAACTTTGGACGGAAATTCCACTTCTGGAGATTCAAATTACAGTAAAAGGCAATGGGAAATAGTTCACATTCTCTTGGATGGCACTGGTTTAAGTTGCTGGGCCGACAAGTTGTTTGCAAAAGTCCCTAACTTTTCCGGATTTTCTGGACTGGAAACTCTGCCTTACGTCTCAATAAATCATCAGATACTACTTGCTACATAACCATGAACAACTGACATATAAATGTCCAATATTAAAAATTTAGACTCATTTTTGATGCATTTTCATGGATCCGACCTAAAATACATGCCATCCGCCATAAAAGAGGGTACTATCCTACATTTCCATGCACATTAACTGGAAAAGTAATGGGTAATAGAGACAGAAATTTGGAATTACCATTGAGGACTTATATTTTCGCTGGATAACTTGCCGAGTCTTGGGATCTGAAAAAGCAAAGAGGTAAAGTTAGTAGATCTCAAAAAAGAGCAAAAGAAAAAGCATATCAGCAAAAGCATGGATACCATTCACCCTCAGAAAAAACTGACTATTCTAAAATTAAAATAATGATGTTCGAAATCTTATCTAGAGCTTTTTTTTTTCATTTCCAGAGCCCTGTCTTTGAGGCTTAACATTTTCTTCTAATGCAATAAGTGTCTGCGCCTTCAAATATAAAATTGAGCATCATTATCATGAATTCGTAGTGAAGCATATGAATCGTAAGCCATTAATATTTTCCAATTCAAAGCTACAGTATAGAGTCTATTATCAAGCGGTTTGGTGTGAATACCCTGATAATCCATCCTTTTTGATCAATTTATACAGCAGATCAATTGATTTAAAGACAACACGCCACCGATCATTTTGCAATCTACATACATTTAAGAAATGTTATATCAGCCATTATAATTCGCCTCTGGACAAGATACAAATTAAAGCACTACACTTGGAGTTTTTCAATCAAAATTTCAAAAGGAAAATGGATCATACAAAGGAAAGTCTAGAAATCAACTCTTAATTGAGGACACCGCACCAAGAACAGCCTATAACTGGAAACCGCATTTTGAGAAAAACGCATTTAAAGTTTTGTTTTTGATGTACTGCGCAGACTTTTCTATGCAGGTACCCTGTTTTGGTGTTTTTGGGTGACCTAACCCTTCTATTGAAGGATGCCGGGTAGATTTTGCGATACATTTTTACACTCTAATATATATACACTATATATATATACATACTATATATACACTATAATAATATATAATATAGAGTTTACACTCTAATATATTTAATTTAAAAAAGCGGTTTATAGGCCATTATTACGCCCAACAGTCATTTTGATGGCAATATGAAGTATAAGTCATTTTAATCACGCATGATTAACGCAAAATGAAAGAATATCGATAGTGAGTAAAGAAAGGGGTAACTAGCACCTTATAGGCCCGTTTATAGGTCGTTCTTGCACCCATCGATCCAGAGGCCTAACTTAACTCGGAAAAAAAAGGTTTTTCAACCTCGAGCCGTTACCTATCTATATTCTATCCCTACCACAGCATAGTCCAGGGTACGTAGAATCCGAAAAGCAGATGTGCGTAATAACGACCTATATGCCTATAGGCTGTTCTTGGTGCGGTGTCCTCAATTATGACATTAGTGTTTAAATTAACATTGGTTGGATGGCAAAAAAACGAGTGACGTCATTCGTATAATCCAACTTCCATTTTATCTGTGTTGAAAATACTTATTGATACCTCATTCAGGCTTTCCCACTGTGTGAATAGTTTTTAACATTAGATCTTGTCTGGTGGCCTATGGCATTAGGTCTGTTCAGACATAGCTCAACAGCAGGCATAAAGTATTAGTTGATTCCATGGGAAATAAGAAAACTTTCGATAAATTCTATTTAATTCAGTATCCCAAGTAGCAGAGGTTGCAACAACTTGCAACAAAATTGTTTGATTCTTGCAACTAATAGATTGATGTGCAGTTTGCCTACTCTCCCCCGAAGGAGCTATCATTGTTGGAACTAGTTGCAATTAAGTTGAAACATGTTTCAACTTCAAAGTATTGCTGGTTGCCTATCTTTAGATTTTAAACAACTTTGGTGCAGCAATTTTGCAATCTCAGCAGGTTGCAACTTTGTCTTCCGATCAGATCGCCGAAAATCGGTACTTATCGATCAAAAGTTGACCGAAAGTTACTTTGTTGCAACTAATACTAACATTGTTTCAACATTTTGCAACTTTTACATTGAAAAATGCTACTTGAGTATCCATCCAACTCTAAAAAATATTACCATTTGTATGCCAATATCTAAATGGACTGTCAAGTTCTATATTCTTGAGGCCGGTTAAACTTTCTTTTCCTCATTTGTTTTTCACAAATCTGAACAAGAAAACTTGAGGATGTCTCTGTGGACATGAACATAGACTTTCTATGGACAAAAAGGTACTGATATGCGCAATTACTAGTCCTACAAACTGGTTTGTTACCTTTGGTTCCTAAAATACACCTGACATTTAAACAGTTTAAAATTTGAATTCCTTACAACCATCACACATATCTCCATCACTTCACAAAGTACCAATTTTCTGTTCCTGTTACTGAAACAGAAACAAGAGTACCATAGAAAAATTCATTTTGCAATTGGGAACTAAAATTTTTTGCTCTTTTGCTCAGTGTAGAAACAACGTATGTATCATTAGTCTCCCTATGCAGGTAAGTGTTTTTTACACGAGCCAGAAATTGAGCTGGCGCAAAATGCAGTCCAATTAAAAAATTGTACAAGTGACTTACTGTATTCTTCAAGCACAAAAATTCCTCCTTTCATCGTGAAACACTTTCGAATATGATCCAACCGCACGAAAAACTGAAAAAGCAGAATACAGTACAAGTTAAATATAAAACAACAAAAAAAGGAATTATTAAAAAATCAAGGAGAAAAGACTTTCAGTAACTCGGTTAGAATTTGTTTAAAAAAAAATATTGAGAGCCTAGAGCAAGTAGCTCATTGAGCGCCGAGAGAGAAAGTTGAATTTTAAGACGGTAATATCTCTGGAGGAGCATCTAAATATTACCTGAGCAAGAGTGGTTATCCAATTCTCTGACTGTTAAACTTTGAGTGAGAGACACAAAAAACTTTAAATCACAACTTCATTTAGAGGGCATTAAAGCCTTTTGCATTGATCATTTATACTAAAAAAATCTGGAATGCAAGCTGAGAAAAACTACAGAGATAACCTGAGGAATCGGGTACTATCATAAGTACCTGTTTTGCTGAAAATGATTCTTCGTTCAGCAGAAAAATGTTTCAGTTGGAAAAAAGAATCAAGCATTATCGTAAAGTCTACATTACAGGCAAGCAAAACTAGACATGCTATAATGATGGGAAAAAAGGTAATGGTTTAAAGACCAAACCCTATTCTAATAATCGACTTTGTGAATGAGATCTAACACTTTCTATTTGCTATTGATATGGCTTCCGTTCAAGGAAACTCATGGATGACGCTTATTTCTAGATGAGAATGTCTACACTCTAGATTGTCTAAGATCTAGGAAAGTAAAAAAAAAAAAAACTAAAACGTAAAATCTAAAAAGCGAGCAATTCAAAGCTTAAGAATACTAGTGAGATGGCCAGGCAGTGACTACGAACCAAGATGTTGAACAGTGACATCTACGCCTTTAGACAGAGACAGACCCTGGCACTGATTACGAATTTTCACCGCTAAAATTTTCGTAGACAGACCAAGATACACCCTAGTTTAATACGATAATTTTATCTTCGTTTTTGAAAAAAATTGGAATTAGATTAAAAAAAACCACAGCCCAAAGTTAGTGACATAACAGTTGACTCCGTTACAGGCGTAACTAAAGGAAGAGTCCAAGAGGTCAGGACCTCCCCTTCCCCCATGACCTGAAATTTTTACCCGAAAGGTTATTTTCTGCGATTGCTGGATATTTTTTAAAAATAAATTCCTAGAGTATAAAAGGACAGATAACACCTTCAAAAGTTTGTCTGAAACACCATTGATATACTTCCCAGAGGCAGGCTGAACATATCATTCTACAGTCTGTAACAGCGTTGCTAATTTGTTGTAAGAATAAATTCAGAGAACTTAAAAATGACTAGAGTGTCGCGACGTAACTCTCCTTCACATTACCCGACAAATGGTTAGATTTGTCAGATGTTCAGTTGTTTTACAGTACCGAGACTTGGTGTTTCAAAATCTTTTAACAAAGTTTTTCTGTTAGATCCTCAATTAGATACAGTTCGATTATATTAATGATCATTAAAGAAATTTGAGGATGTCTAAACTTGAAACAACCTCAGTGATCACATGACTTTTGCTGATAACTTAGAAACTGCTGGGTTTTATGGGAGCTAGTTGGAAAGCACCAAGTTACATTACTACCATAAATTCATAAATTTGACACTTTTCTTGTTAAGAAGATAAAATATTTTAAAGCATGAAGGGGGAGAAAATGAATCTCTGAGCAAGGATTCGATAATCTGAGATGTAAACGCTGTAAATTTCTGAAATTCAGGTAAGATTCTTCCATCACCAATTCAAGATATTTTCATATTGCTCAGTAGAATATTGTCTGGGCTGATTTTCAAAAAGTCAATTGTGATAAAAAAAAAAATAAAAAAAATGAAGAAAACTTAGCTACTTATGAAAGGTAAAAAAAATCTGTATGCGAATACCAAATACCATGTGATTCCTAATTTTACAAGATCGTAAAGATTTTGAAGAACTCTGTACATCCTGAAAAGAATCAACGCGTGACACAACTATAACGGGTGAAAATTTCATAATCAGTGCACGAATGGAGTGATGATCCATGCTCTAATAGTAATGTTTTCTGATCATGGCTACTATCGACGGGTGAGCTATCGGTAAACCACGGCGACACAGAGTCGGACAGAGGTACAAAGTTGGTACAATCAAACTGGACAGGGGACAATAACTACATGAATCAAATTGTCTACAAAACAGCGCGACAAAAAATGAAATATACCTCGAAATCCTGTTGCATCATTTGCGTCCACAGAGTTCCCGAAACATAGGGAGCAAGACGGCAAACAGAGAGCGAGGAAAAAGAAAATAAAAATCATGTAAGTTAACAGCCAGGTATTTCTTTACTGCTAAGCTAGATTAAAGTCAGACCAAGGACCATCTCAAAAGTTCCTTAAACTTTGTTGTTCGAAAGAAAAACTCGGTTTCATTCGCGCCAGAAACCACGTCCGAGGATAAAACTATAAAATCTGTGTTTGGTGCAGTGAACTTCTAAATTACTTTTAGTGCAGCAAAATGGCTCCTCAAGGATACTTGTGAGGAGGTAGAAAAATAAAAAAGATCCAGATCTGAGTAGGGTTTCTTGCTTTCTGAAGAACTTGATGGTTATAAAACAAAAAGTGTAGGTACTCAAATTTTTTCTCTGATTTTCATTATCATGAAAAGGCAATTTCTAGAGATACTGCGTAAGAGGTGAGCTGGGAAGGGAAATGGGGTCATGCCTGAAAATGGTACCGCTATAGAAGAAATTCAACCGATCAATTTAATGGGCAAATAAATCTACGGAAAATTGTTTTTCACATGTGAGGGAAGTTAAGTAAAAGAGAGTAGCTTTCTTCATGAGGATGCCCTCAGATGCTCATCTACCTTCAATCTTTAAAAAATATGACTTATCACCTAAAAAAGTATCTTGGATGGATGAAATTAGTTGATTATTCCAAATTGACTAGAATACAGGCTGAACTATACGCAGCAACACATTTGTGTTAAGCTCATTGTACAGAAAATTGTTTAAGGGTATTTTTTGAAAAGCAACTAGTTAAGCACAGTTGAGGCTTTCGAACTAATTTCAAAAATTACATGAAATTTGACCCAAAAAAAGACTCCACGATACAGTCACGTTCTCCTAAGATTAATAAACATGACTTCTTCACTCATTAAAGTTGGTTTCAAAAACTAGCCTTCAGTTTTATAATGGGGCATTTTTCGGTAAGGATGGTGAAGTTAGATATTTGAGGAAAAAGAACCATACCATTTTTAAAAAATGCATCTCAAAACAAAAGCTGATAAGAGAAATGTGCGTGCAATCATTCAAAAAACCTCTCCGATAAAAAAAACCCCTCGTTGAAATCGCTGCTTATCACAGCAAGTAACGGCAAGCCCTTGGTCAACAAGGCCTTCCAAGTATTACGTAACATACTATTACTGTTTTCTCTATCTTTATTCTCGTATTGATAAAATGGATGTGACACAAAACAGAGCCAAGAATTAAATAATATTGGGCAGAACTTTTCCTCATTCCATATTTATCCATAATTTGGCGCTGTTTAACAGAAAAAAAAAATCTCCTTTCCCTCATTAAAAAAAGAGAATTGCCTAAATCGGAATTACTTTGCATCCAAATTCTATGATACTTGTAAACTCAGAAAAAGACATCAGGCTGTGGTCAAGATAATACAAAAAGGTATAATGATACCATACATTCTCGTCATAATGGAGGAAAATTCAACAGAAAATATAAAAGAGGATTTGAGCAGCTCGGAAAAGTCTGGGGGGAAAACTTCATTGAAAGGGATCTGGAAAACGTTGTTGTGATGATTCAACTGAAATTTTGAGGAAAAATTCATCTCAAAGCCAAAAATTTTCACAACAGACATGCAAAGATTGCAAGATAATTCTGAATACTGGCATAAAATCAAGTATTGATTAAATGTAATTTAAGTTCAATAATTGATAAAAATTGCGAGCAGTAGACTTCAAGAGGAAGAGTCTTAACAAAAATCTTGAGTTGCTTAGTCAAGGTGAGAGGGTTACATCACTTCTCGCGATTCATGAAAGTAATATGGTAAACTTGAAAAAAGAGGGGAAAAACACCATGCCGATCAAAAGAAAAAAATGGGTCACTTTGTGGGATAATATCTCTTCTGGAACATCTCCAGGACAAAAGTACGCTGAGTGATACTATTTAATAGACAATATTGTCGTTTCCCGCACACAAGAGCGTATCTCGTCTGTGCTGTTTCAGTATTTCAACGAGCATTTTTTTTTTATGGAAGAACCATTACACAAATTTGTGTGAAAATTTTGGTGTCCATTCTCACAAGTGTAAAGAAAAATCCCTGGCCATTTCAGGCAAATTTATGAGATAGTTCTCCTATGATGAAATAAATATGATGGCAGTAAGAAATACTGAAACAGCACAATCAAGATACATTCTGTCATTCGGGAGACGAAAATATTTGTCAAAAACTTAATTAATTGAACTTTTAGTGTAAACTGAGTAAATTATCAAAAATGTCTGGGATGAAGTTTCTCATTTTAGTGATTTTTTATTTTTCCTTTCTTCTCGAGAGTGTCAATGTCTAGCCAAGAAGCATTAATAGACATTAAAGACAGTCCATTTTTAATTTTTCTAGATAAATCGAAACATAAAAATCAATCTTCCTTCAGGAAGGGATTGCGGAATAAAAAGAAACTGAAAATTAGAATAGGAAAAAAGGGCAAAAAGAGAGGAATGATTGACTGAACTAATTCTACTGAGAAAAGTTTCCGAATATTACATTTTAAGAAAGCCTGTAAACTTTGAACTGAATTGGTCAGGAGTTTAGCAGTCGAAGTAAATGACGGAAACTGAAAGAAATCAGATTTACTAAGCTTCGCTAAAATACAGTGAGTTTGTGAAGCCTGACTAAACGTTAAAGAAATTTTGAGATGTCCTTGCAGAAATAGAAATAAAATGATACAGAAAACTTGTTAATTAGAAAATGGAGTGTTACGAATCTGAGAAATTGGGGATAATATTCGTCAAAATATTTAAAAAATAAAGTGAAGTAGATAAAAAGAAATTGAAAATATTTCTACTTCAATTTTGCAAAGATTAGAGATTTGGTATATTTTTCTACAACCAGGTTCGTATTTTATTGAAACACGATTTACTGCCAGATTTTTGACTGATACAAGGGAAGACAGAACCTCTAAACCGAGATTCCAAATTCAAACAAAAAGAAGTTAAAAGATTACCAAACTCGAAGTTTCCCCTAAAACAAAGGTAAGGCAGGCTTCTTGCCATGGTTACAGAGCAATGTTTTCAACAAAAATTTCAACCGAGAACACCCTCAAAATAGATTTAGCCGTTAGTGGTAGAAAAAACTGATAAATTTGGACAAGCCTTGCTGCAGAATTATTTTTTGATAAATTTCAAACTAGACCATTTCAACAGGTTCCTAATGATAAGATAGGGGCCCCACCAGAAGTCTCGTGAAAAGGAGTTTATCTACTTTCTCTACAAACAATGAAACTTGCGCTGATTCAGGCATTCTATTTTTGCAGTGAGGTGGATTTTTACAGAACCAGAGCCAAAATACACCTACCAGTATATTCTGACTCCGTGCAAAAAAATCCTTAAAAGCTTACCCAACGAAATAATTTTAATCAAGAGAGAAGAAAGGTACAAAGCTAAAAAAGACAGAAAGTGAAAAAAAGCCGTTTCAGAACTGACTGAAGTAAAAATTCACAAAATATTACTATACGATAAGAATTGGAAAACTGAGGAAAGATCTCCGGTTACAACGGATGTAGTAGATTTTTTGTGGGGCGGGAAAAGGGAGGAACTAAAATAAATAAAATTCATTTGCCTCTAATCAATTCACACCCATTCATATTGTTAAACTTTTTGAGGGCGAGAGCGGGTGAAGAGATGCTTATAACTTACGGTCACAATCTTTATGAAAGGTGAGAGACGCAATTTTATTTGTAATCAAAAGGTTTCAATTTTCAAGAGTCACCTAAAAAATAGTTGCTTGCCAATTGCAAAAAAAGAATAGGGGGAAAAAATTGTCTGAAAAATATGATCTGACTGCTGTCACGATTTTCGGAGGATTCCACAAAAAACAAAAAAATTACGTTCATCTTTTAAAATTTAAGGAATTTGAAATTTATTGTACTTTCATTTACCACTTGATCTTATTTCAATTTTTCTCGATTATGAGTGAACACAGGGGAGTCAGGGACACATGCAAGGTATCAACACAAACTTAAGTATTAAAATAAGTTTTTCGTTTTCAGTCCGAAGTATATTGAGTCGCTATGCTTTCATAATGCGATCAAGAGAAGGAGCGATTGTCAATTTAAAAGCACAATTAAATTTGTCGGTCAAGTCCATTAGCTTCGAGGACACTCTCATGTATAAATTAATGAATCAATTGATTCAAAAGTAAAATAAAATTTTCCATATTTTAGATTGAGAAAAATTACAAGCTACTGAACACTATGACTTAAGCAAATGAATTACTGATTGAATGCAAAGGAATCAAGACGCAAAACCAGATCTTCATAAAGAGCTGGTTGATCAAACCAGATAGGTACTGGTGATTAAACAAGAAAAGGGTGAATAAAAAAAAGAAATCCTTCAAAAATTGATCAAGGTGGGGGTAACTTTAAAATGATCCATTCCATCAAGATTAAAACAGAACGATCGGAAAAAATTGGCATCATAATAATTGTAAACTCAATCAAATACATTAATATTCAATAAAAAGAGAAGCTATGCCACATACCTTGCTGTTGGCAAACAGCAGACCTACTCCTTCCATACAGACTTGAAGAAGGCCACCTTCGCCTGTGCTCATGTCTTCCACAGGAAATTCTCCGCCCAATTCGATGCCTTGCACAACTCCTTGACCTCTGAGAGCAGCCTTTTCCATTGCTTCTTTGATACAGTAGTACAATTCTTTGCACTGAGAAAATCAGACAGAGAAGGTGAAAAAGGTGCGAAAGAAGATTACATTGATGAAAATTTGAACAAAAAAGGACCACTAAAGAAGATGAGACTATAGGCATCGAAAAACTTGTTTTCTTATCAAATTTCTGGGCAGAACACTTAAAACGTATTAAAAATATCCCTTAAGGTGGAAACTAGTCAATTGAATCTCAACGAACAAAACAGACAACTCAAGTAGCGTTATCCAAAAAACAGTTGCGATAAATTTATCACTTGTTGAAATATGTTTGCGACGAAATCTCTTTGATTGGTCGACAAAACGTAAATCCATCCTGATTTCTACCTACCAAAATGGACAAAGAATTTCATTTTTTGCATGCCTTTCAAAAAATAACTTTGAGTGATAAAAATTGGCATCAAAATTTCCACGATAGCTTACTTTTTTTGTGTAATACTTGTGAAGCTGAGTCTGACCGCCACACTTGCGCCACAAGCAGAGGACCTTGGTTTTTGGGCTGTACGTCATGTTGACAAGCCTTTCAAACCACCACCTCTCCACAATCACCCCAGACACAGAGCGCAGGATTAGACCGTCCTCTCGAACTTCCAAGAATAGCAGATCACCGCTTGCATCCGTTCCACAGTGGACGGTGAAACTCTTCCGCACAGCCATTCGAGAGCCAAGAGGTTTCAGGTCAATGTCATTTCCATGCTGTAGTTAAAACAGGAAAATGCATGAAAATTGATTACTACTTTAGGTAGGTTGGCAGTCATTGAACGACATTAAAATTTAATTAATGCCACTGAAAAGAATGAGAGTTTCTTCAATCCCTTGAAATTACTCACACTTGTCACTTTGCCTCTAATTCGTTGTCTCTCCTATTTAAGAACATAACTTATCTATGTTGTCTCAGTATTTCTTCGTTTATTTAATTTTTTCAAGAGAAAACTGTCACACAAATTAATTTGAAAATATCAGAGTCTTTCTCTGCAAGGGTAAGGAAAAATCACTAAAAATTTGGGAAAAATTCATGCCAGTTCTCCTATACAGGAGTAAATATATGTAATAAATACTGAAACAGCGAAATCCAGATACGCTCCTTTGTGCAGGATTTTTGTTTTGAGAACTTCAGTTTTTAAAATTTTCAATGGGTCTCTTAATGAGGTTTGGATTAGAGAGTTGCACAACATGTTTTCTCTTCAAAATTTCATGAGGAAAATGAATTACACAAAAACACTCATCAACATAGGAAAAGTTAGGGGGCATACATTAAGATTGCCGGTTAGAGGGGGCAGTAGAATGGCCTGATAGGTTAAGGCCCCCTCAACATAGAAAAAAAAAAAAAAAAAAAAAAGGGGGCATACATTGTTATAAGCTGAGCCAGAAATTACAGTTCCTAATTGCAGAAAGCAGTCCCTTAGATCAGTTTTAAAAATACCTTTTAGTATCTTATTTAGGAGCGGTTTTCCGGATTTCCTGTTGCCCAATTTTTTTTTTACATGAGGTTTGGAAGAGAAAAGAAGTGACATTCTTTCTAGATCAAGTGACCTGGATCAGGTCTTATCCAGTGGGCCACTAACTTTTAAAAGCCTCATTTTATAGTGGCTTGATCTCAGGGATGGGTAAAAAATTAGAATTCGTCACAGCTTTGAAAGATTATTTTGCTTTTCATTATCCATTTCAAACTAACATGTTATGTTTATACCCATTTTACATTAGAAATTTGATAGCAAAACTCACCAAGTTTTCGATCTGATCCAGCAAAATGTTGACTTCTTGACTGTAAACGAGTCCAATGTGACTCTTGCCAAGAAGTCGGCGTACTTTGTTCTTGAGCTCGTTCTTATTAACATTTATCATTAGCATTATGGCTGTTAAGTTGTAAAGAAGCGTAGATAAAAGACGGTCCTCCTCGTGTTCAAGTCTTTTCCTTTCTGTTTCGCTCAGGCACTTATACCTGGAACACATACAAAATGACATATAAGAACGTATTTATACATGGCCCTACACTATTGTGGTATTTGGAGGCAAAATTTACTACAGATAGATTTTTCTGTCAGTGAAAAAATTATGATGTCAAACAATACTTCGAACTTAATAAGAGGTTGCTGCTTTACTTTGGCTTGTAACAAACTAATATTTTATTTTAAAAAGAACCAATCATGATGATTTTCAACTTTGTTTCCAAGGGTAAAGTTTTTTGCTTTGGAATTGGAGAAATCAAGTGGTCAAGAGAAATTGCTGGTAAGAATAAGATGGACCGCGTTAAGCAGAAAGGAACCAAGCCACATCAGCTATTGCTAAATTTAATGGGACAATTTAATTTTTCACATCAAAACGTTTGTGCTGATTTTTGTGCAAATTTCAGTGAATTTTCCGTATAGTACAAGCAAATTCCTCAGAATTTTCAAAGGAATCCACACAAACGTTCTGTTTTGAAAAATAAAAGTGCCCACTTTAATTCGGCAATAGCTGATGTGGCTTGGTTCCTTTCTGCCAAATGCGGTCCAAACAATAAAGGCTGTATGTAGATGTTTCCTTACAATATTGAGTAATTTTTTTAGAATAAAACGAGAATATTCACAGATAATTTCAGAAAAACTGTTAGTTTTCCAGAAACATGAGCAGAGACTTGCAACATCGCTATCTGAGATATGCATGTTTCACTTGAGTCGCGAATATAAAAGTACAAAATACCAATATAAGGATAAAAATAAAGAAAGTAAAATTTCACTGAAATTACCGTTCCATCATTTCAGATGAGCCTTGATCCATTCCTACCATGTCTCTTTCTTGACTAACTGCATCCAAAAAGGCGTCCTCCCAAAACTGCATCTGGTCCCATAATGTTGATCTTTCCTTTCCTATTAATCCTGAAAAGTGATGAACAATGATATTAGTAACTTCATAGATGAAGAGAAAATTTATGAAAATCAGAATTTGATAGCTTTGGATAAAACATGATTATAAATAGGAATTTAACAGATAATTCACAATCACATAATGTAGTGCTGACATACCATTTTTTTCTTTTCTAAAATGTATTTTGAAATCTCTGCTTCTATTTTATTGCATCAAAGGAGAAAAAACCAGCACTATTGCTTGGAATTTTCATAGATTATTCTTTATGCAGAGAAAAAAATTAAAGAAGTTTTCATGGAATGACCTTGAGTATTTTTTAAAATTAAAAATAAATTAAGATAGAAAGTCTGAAGTATCGGAAACAGCGATTCTTGTTCCTGCGGTTTCATGCATTGATCCATTTTCTAAAATAGTAACAATTATATACTAATTAAGGAAGAAAAAATAGCTGATATAAAAGTAATGTATTAAAACTTAAATTCAATGAAATCCAATACAATGTAATTATGATACCGTGTCAATTTTTGATGTGATATTGACTTATTTCAGTAACGACATGTGACTTGTACAGTTGTACATGGCCCCAAAGCAAAACACACCGATTAATTATTTTTTTTATTATTGATAGGTAGAGTGCATTGCCTGATATCAATTGGGAATCGAAGATAAAAAAAACTTAAGTATGAGAAAACCTCTACCAGAATGGAAAACGCCCTTTATGCAATAACAAAGAAAGAAAAAAAGAAGAAAAAAAGTTCCAGCTAGTAATTTGGAGAATAAAATTAGTAGGTACTAATGATCAAATATAATCCGCATAATTGATTTTGAAATAGCGATGATTTTCGAAACAATAAATCAAAATGTTGGTCTTCCTCACCTTCAAACAGGTATGTTCTCCCCGTTTCAGGACTTGGCGTGGCGGTATTCACCAGGTTGCCACCATGGTATCTGAATCCAGTGCTTAAGGATGACTTACTGGACCAAACGCTTGGTGTTCTTTGCTTGGACACTCTCCCCAGCTGAAATAAAGAGAGGGACTGAATAAGTTTCAGAGAACTATTAACGCAGAAAAATGATGAAAATCGTTGTTAAGTCATTTTGGATCAGCGTGATATTTGGATAGGATTCCTCCTTCACAATCGACAAAGATGAATTAATAATGCATTTCATTGGCAAAATGAAACATTTGCTAAAATCTATTGAAAGTATGACCAAGAATTATTAATTCAAAGTCATGCAGGCTTAAATCATGACAATTGCTTAGCCTGTTCAAACTTAACATAACTTCGGAATGATTTTAGTCCTAGAGCTGAAGACATCTCGCCACATAACTCGGTACACTTTTAAATTTAGTTGATAGATCCATAATTTTTATTATTGTGCTCAGTTTTAATGCTTAGCGGAATAAAAATCTTCAATTAAACCCAGTATTTTGGCCATTTCTTTGCATAAAGATGTTGGCATGATGGAAAATTAAGTAGTTTACTGCAGAGAGGAACTAAAGATGAATGGGTGCAAAATTAACTTATAGAATCTAGATTGAGTTTTTCATATTTGTTACTTCTGGAAAAGAAAATGGACTGAGTAAACTATCTGGTGGGGGAACAAGTTGGTCAGTCTAAAAATTTCAAAGAACACTCGCTCCGCACTTTGAAACTGACAAGTTAACAGTCTTTTTATGGGGGAATCCCTTTCAATACAGAAGCAATTGGATGATTTGCTTATAATCTATTCCTCATTTTCAATGTTTGGAATAACATTTACATCACTTCACCATGAAATCTGTTGAGTTGCAGATCAGCAGTACAGCGTCTTAGGCGACATATTTGTTAAAAGATAAATATTTTTGGGCTACATTAGGACTAAAAATTTATAAGGTTTGCGTTTAGGTTGTAGAAGAAGGCCTAAAACCTGGAAAAAGAGTACTTTGCAAAACCTGCTCGTTCCCGATTTGTAAATTCTCAAAGAAAATAAAGTTATTGNGGGGGGGGGGGGAAGCAGGGAAGGAGTCAAAAAATAGACTCACAGTGGATTGTGAATCGATTTCACTGTCAGAGACAGTACTTCTGAACGAAGCATTGTTCTTGCTAAATCGCTGAAGCGTAAACACAGGGTTAGTGATGATGCTCCCTGCGTCAGAGGAGCTCCCAGCTTCTGGGGACCCATGCATGTGCCCTTCAGCTGGTCCCTGAATCACACACAAAAAGCACAACGACTGAGTCATAATATTGAAACCATACCAAACCAAAATGAAACAAACACAGATGGTGTAGCCCATATCCAAACTTTCATTTGAAATTAATTTTTTCACCCAGGAAGCCCACTATTACCCCAAAAATTTTGAAGTTTGCCGCAACTTGATGACAAATAGCTGTTTGTTAAATGAGCTACCAGCAATATCACAGTTCGTAAAAAATAAGTTGGCTGACTTTTGAAGTGAAATAAAATATCTACCGTCTTGATTCTTCCATTCAGTTTCAATGTGAAAATAAAGATAGACTATTCCACTCTGAGATTTGGCAAACTAAGTGTTTTGGGACTGAAGTCTTTTTTTCTCTAACAGTAACAAAATACTACATTAAAAATGAATGAAATAATATTATTTTCTTGTTAGATTCATTTTCAATTAATGGAAAAATTGTCCCATAAGCCTAAGACATTCATACAAAACAGGCGGAGGAGTTGTAGGATTTGTATTATCAAGACTCGGGTTAAAATTCAATACAGCAGAGGTTATTACTTTGGTTGAAAATTTTCATTGAAGACATAAATCAAAGCAAAAATTTTAAAAAAAATGATGGATAGTCAAAGTTTAGAGTAAAGTTTTAAAAAAGTAAATGCAGAATTGAAGTGAAAACTACATTACGACAGGACAAAGAAGTGACTACGTATTCTCATTCTACGTGGAAAATATTTGAAATCAAAAGTACACTTCATAACAAATTTTTTGAAAAATCAAAGTTACTACCGAATTTCAAACTGATTATAAATAACTGACTAAAATAAAGGATGGTCAAAAATTGAATTGATTTTTTTCTCAATGGCCCAAGCACCAAAATCGAAGTTCTGTGTCAGTCAATGTGAGCTTGAACTCTTGGGCCCAAATGATTCGTTTAAAATGCTTATTTTAGCCATTTAATAACAAATTTTGAACCTATCACTCCAGCATAGGAAGCATCTAAGGCAACCAAAATCCGTCAAAAACTCAAAATCCAAAATTTTGGCACTTGGACCCCTCAGAGAAAAATCAGTTCAACTGTTTACGGGATGAGTTGAAACACAAATGGCTCAAAAAAAATTATGAAACTGAAAGGAGTAGGGATGGAGAGGATAAAGCTTACTTCTACATCAACAGAGGAAAGTTTGGAGAGGAGCATCTGCCGCTTTTGGTTGAGGAGAGCTTTGAACACATCGGTGGTAGAGTGACTCACACTTTCGTCTTCAGTCTGCGGCTCTTGCGTCAGTCGAACGGAGGGGAGTGATGCGCTGGAACTTTCACCTGTGAAAACATGCAAACATGGAAGTAGATAATACACATTCTATGCTGACCAATAAAAAATGAAAGTGCATAATTTTTGCAAAATAAGGAGCATGTAAGTATGTCGTATGGCATTGCTTCAGGGCTAGTTACTTAATCATTAGTACCTTGTTGTTGCGATAATGACACTGGAATGTCCAAGAATTTTTTGCAGGGCAGGAAAGAGGTATTGGATATGTGATTTTTTTCTTTTTTTAAAACTTTCGTTAATAAATAGCAACTACAAAAACATATTAAGCTACTGTGCAAGGGTATGTACAACCGTACAGAAAGAAACAGACTGTATAAATTGGACCTCGTGTTCCTAACTTAACATAGATAACAAGACAAGATAAGATTATGGAACTGTAAAGGGAGATACATTCATATGCATTATAAAGTTCTGAAAATCGCTTAATAAAACTTTTGAGGGTTTATTCAGGATGCTATAGAACACTTTTGAACGTCTAAAGGTAATGAAATGACCTGTGGCTTTTCTTATTCATTGAGCTGTGTGATTGAACGACTTCATATTATAAAAAAAAATAAATTTTTCATAGCAAATCACTGAAATAAATAGAATCAATTCTTCAGGAAAAGATGAAATAAATTCACTGACATTGATTTTTTTTCTCGAAAATCGCTGGTTTGGATTCCAATGAAAAGACAAAATGTAAAAAACTTACCATAGGCACTAGCTTGGGAGGATTTTCGGGACTCGATATATGAAGAGGGCACAGGTGAACTGCAGGGACTTGAAGGTGATCTTAAGTTCTCGTGACTTCCAAATGGACTCGATTGCTGAAATACAAGAATGCAATGTTAATAAATGGGTTCGTATGAAAAAGATACGTACCTAAGATTCAAGAGAAATACTGTTCATGCAGGAATTGTAGACTTTATATAATGTCTGAAAGACAACATTGATACCATGAGATGTCAGACTTCATACAGCAAGATCAATTTTGGCTTCAAAGAAAGATACTAATTTTGATGCAAATGGATTCAGAGAGAAAGTAAGGAATAAATATGCTAACTTAGATAATTTTTTGCATGGCTGATTTGTGCTGATTTCATTTTCCTGGAAGCAATGAATTGAAATTGTGTGATCTGAACTTTTCAGAAGTGCTCCCTTTAAATATTTTTGCATACTTAACTGTCTACATATTCATGGGCAAAAAAATCTTTAGTGACCTCGAGAACTCTAAATATTTCAAACTGTTTTTATTGAGAGAACTTCACAAAAAAAAATTGCTAAATTAATATCCCAGGATATTGAATATTTTCGCAATAGCTCTGGAATGTTGATATAAATACTTCAATTGATTCCATATCGCAAGGATGTTGAATTAGCAGCCAGAGCGTCTCGACATTTTGGAGTTGTTGTCCAGATTTTCAAAAACTGGCATGTTCACGCAGTATTCTGATCCCATGTTCATTGTTCCAAGCTATTGCGCTTCTCAGTCAATAGTTTCTTTTATCAAAGCCATGTTTGGAGTTTTACCCTGCTGATGTTCGTGATTCTATGGCTATTCCCAAGTAATGAATACATTTGCTCAGTGTCTTCAATCTTTCAAATTATGATATAGATTTTTCTGATTTCTCAGGGTGCAGAATGCCTATTGGAACTTAGACTGCAAAAATGTTAGGAGAAGGGGAGGGGTGTCCCTTTGTGGAGTTCATTTCAATAGTACTTTCATTCATTTCAATAGTACTTTGCTTACACGAAAATTGTTTGCTGGGCGCCTTTTTATCAAAGAGCTCTTCAATTACCTGCGAATCAAAGTTAATTGTCCCAACGCTAGCAGCCTCAGCCATATCTTTTGTCCAGAAATGCGTGTGCGCTATTTCCAAGACCTGAAATGCAGACGCCATTCCACCCAGCCCATAATTTGAGTACGTTACTTCTAATCCATGAATTATATACTGTAGAATTTTGATCATTCCTTTCCAAACTTGCTTGCTAATACACTAAAAAAAAACCAACAAGATAAGATTTATTAGTGAAACATCATTGTAAAAATGCACACAGCACTGCAAAAATGCAGATTCAAAGACCAACTTTTTAATTCATTGAATTCCTAAAAAGCTCTCATGTAATTGAAAACTGGTTGCTTAGTTAAATTAAATTTTAATCAATTAAGAGATGAGACTCAAAAATTAAGCGCTGGACAGTCGTTACTTATCTCTCATGCTGATGTGTTGTTAATATGTAATGACTGTCTCAAGAGACAAGTTTCATACAAGTGGCTTCACTTTGTAAGTAATTAATCACTTGAAATTGCCAAACTTACCACATCATCTATGTGATCTGCTGGTCCTATTCTTCGATCCAGCGTTAAATTCAATTTGCTAACTACTAAATTTCTATTGCTTTCGTCCTCTAGCAATTTCTTCAGCCTGGTAACTTTTAACCAACTTACACCTTCACCCTCTAGTACTTGGTTTATCACCTAAAAAGAAAGCAAAAGAGTTAAGATTGGGCAAGAAAATACAATTCAACTTGAATAACAAACCAACAGCTCATACCACTAAAGGGCCTTTGAAAAATGGGGACAAAGCTGGTTTGAGTTCTTTGCTTTTGTAAAGCATGCTTGCCTTGCTGAGAGGGCTTAAAAGACCGACTGGAAGACTGAATCAGAATAAAATGCACTTGATAATACCTATTTACCTGTCACCAACTCTGTCTGATTGCGAACTTTTTTTTTGAAAAAAATTTCTTCCAAAGATCACTACGAGTTTGTGTTTTGACCAATATACTCAGATTCACTTTGTCTTTTAAGTCATTAGCTTTCAAAAAACTGAAAAGGAGGTCTTTCACATTAAAAAATTACACGCATGAGGAATTCTACTAGACGGAGAAATTTTGATACAAAGCAATAGCTTGATAGATTGATCATCCGTCTTTACTTCTTTATCTGCAGGTCAAAACAAGAAGGCGTTTTTGTCAGATGACCTGATGGCAAAATCGATAGAGCACAACGAGGATGATTTTTTCAACTTCAGGTTTTATTTGACTGCAGGGTTGAACAATTTGGAAAAAAATGTCACATGACTCTCTCTTCTTAAGTTGAAAAATAAAGATTTGTTAAAAATATGAAGTCACTTACATCTTTTAAAAATGCCTGATTTTCTAGATTATTGGATGAACGCTCAAGAGTTTGCTGCTTCTGCAGTTCATCTTGTCGTTTTTTAGGACTAGAATGGCGTATTAAGGAGGATCTCTCGACTAGACCTTTTCGACCTGAAAAAAGTAAAAGACGATAAAGATGATGAGACACTTCATAGGTCAGGTGGATATTTTGATACTCATTTACAAATAAAAATTTTCAACTATCAACCATAAAACTTGCATCGCATTTAAGATATTTTGACATGGTAGGAATAGATCATAACGGAAAGATCTCTAAACTTTTCCTTTCATCATGATATGGAAAAAAAATGGAATTAAAAATAAATTTAAGGATTAATTTAATTTAAAGAATGTACGTTCTTTGTAAAAGTTATTGATTTGCCCAAAGTGGAAATTATTCAAACTGATTGACTCCTTTCTATTATTCAAACATATTTAATTTAATCGCTGAAATTACCTCTCGGGAAAGGACCAAAAGGTTGCGGCTTCTCTCGTGATTTCTGCTGCTGCAAAGGCGACTGTGGTGTGAAAAATCGTGGCTGTCCTTGCTGCTGTTGTGGGTTGAAGTTTTCATTTTTAGAAGTTTTATTACCTGAAAGTGAATTCAATGCCAAAGTTATTAAGTTTGAAGATTAAACAATGATAGGATAACTTTATGATTATTAAATGTTCATCACTCCTATGTCGTTTCAGTGATCCAAGAAGAACTGGGTGCCTACAAAGCTAACCAAGACTTATGACCTCAAAGCCTACAATTTTCTCTTATGAACCAAAACGTTCTCAGAGCTACTCAATCAGCTTTCCGCTGGCTCAGCGATTTTAAGGCAGAGTTAAAACGTTGAAGGGGCTAAACGCGTGATGCAATTATTTCGAATTCCACGTAGGTAAAATTACATAATCACAAAATGAAGGGGAATTTCTTTCCGGTAGACTCAGAGACTTTAACGCAGGAGTAGAAAAGTTGAATGGGGCAAAACGCTTGATACAACTATTCCGCTTTCCATGAGGACAAAATTGCATATCCAGAAAATGAAGGAGAACATGGTGTTCTATATCATCCCAACTATCAGTTCGTCAAACGCAACCTTCAGTTTGTCAAACCCATCTTCCAGTTTGTGTAACCTAACTATTGTGGTTGAAAGAACTGATGAAAGAAGTTCGCATGTACACAAAACAAAAAGTCGTTTTTATTTTAAAGAGTGGACCTTCAACGCACTGATTTTAACAAGACAAGGATGTTAGGTTATTACTACACATAACAATTAGGTTACGTAAATAAATAAAAATCTAATAAATTTTAATTGCAAAAAATTGGGTAGAGATTACAAATGATGCCTTACCAAAGAAGTCACTGAACATACTGGTGGTCTGGGCAGCAATTCCGTTGAGATCACTGCTGATATTAGAAAAGAAATCTCGACTAGTTGTTCGGCTCATGTCAGAATTAGCAACAGTCTGGGATGGGTTTTGTGAAACGTCGGAGTCCCTCCTTCCAACCTAAAACAGAAGGAAGCAATGATATATTTTTTCAGGGAGAATGAAAACACATCTTGAGCAAAAAGTATTTGACTCTGCTTACAAAAAAGTGGGAAAAGCAAGAGAGTTCAATGAGGCAGATTTTAATTAGTACCACTGTCCAATTACTCTTTCAGTTAAATTGTTTTACAGACACTTAATTTGGTATAGAAAGGTGAATAATTCAATCAAAATTTATTTTAAAATCTCTTTCTAATAAAATGAAAACCATAGAAAATCTAGAATTGATTTTTACATTACAAATGAAAATGATTCAGGTAAATACCACGGGTAAAAAATATAGCTGTTACAATTTCACAGCAAAATTATTTTGCAGTTTTTTTAATGCGATCAGTGGTTTCCGGTCAAACATTAAAAAACTTTTTCTTTAAAAAAAGGAAAATATATACTGGTTCAAAATTATGATTAAGATAGGATTACAATAAATGCATGACAATCTGAATTATGATGTAACAAACCTTGAGTAGCCCTTTTTTGGAAGCAACTTCCTTGGCACTTTTCGTTAGATCGCCGATTGTGTTTTTGCCTCTGTATGTCAGATCCTCGAACGTGTTTTTACTCACTCCAGCAGCCGTTTTACTGGCTTTGATTGCAGTTTTGCTTGCTTCTTGCACAGACTTGCTTGCTTCTCCAGCAGCTTTCTTGGCGTGAATTGTTAACTGAAAAAAGAATAAAGATGATTTATGTATTCATACTGATGAATTTTGGTCCCTAATATAAAATAAAGAAATACATCATGTGAATGTTCTGACAAAATGCCATGATAAAACACCAGAGAAAGCAAAAGTTGCCGGATTCAAAAAACACTGTGATGAATTTGGTTCTTCCTTGGTAAAAGCTGCCCATTTATGACTGAAGTTCGAAAATAATTCAGTGATTTGAGGAAATGTCTGATCTGAATGATTTCGATCAAAAAGCGCCGATGAGCCATCATATTAAAGCTGATAAAATTGAACAGAAGTGTGCAATACTTATGACCTTAATTTTTTTTATTTATTGTGCGCTTTTTCACCATAAGAAATATACACCTTGTACATAAAAGTTAAAATAAAGAGTATTTACATACGACTGAGTAGTTCGTATCTTATTTACAATTATGAACTTATGAACTTGAGGCTAAAAAATTGAGTAGAAAATGAGAGCTTGCCTTTCATTTTTTCTGACAGTATATTCTGCAACAAGTATTTCTCAAAATAACTACTACCCTTTTTTTTGGGGGGAAAAAACCTCTCATCTCTTCTGTCCCATGATACTTTTTCTTTGTCCGAAAATTGTGATGAGAGAGAGCAGGAGTGAAGAAATTTCTAGAATTAGTTTAATGAATTACCTTATCTACATGCGCTATCAATCCTTCTTGACTGCTCTGTCTAGTTGTTTCCCGCACTAGTTCCTTCGCTTGGTCCAAGAGTGACCCTTGGCTGCCTTGTCGTGAAACAGAAGGAGTGGGAGGTTTCGTTGCTTTGGGTGTTGCAGTCATCGTTCCTGAGTTTGGAGGCGGCGGTGGGGGAATCGCTCCAGCAGGTGGAATCTAATGAGAAGGCAAGAAAAGATACATCACAAATTGATGAATACTAAAAAGCATTAGCTAGATGTACTTTTTGTACACTTTTTTGACTTGTAACAGTACTTTAGTGATCAAATTCATTTAGCAGAGCATTTACAGAGAAAAAATTATTTTGTTGGCAGACATTTCGGATAATACAATTTCCTTTTCTTATCTCGTACCATCGTAAAAAAAGCTAAGCCGATTTTCAAGTGTGCAGCGCTATCTTTGTTCTAATTGGTCAATCAATCAGCCAACCGGAAAACGTCATTGCCTTGACTTTCTAATAACTTTCTTTCCAAAAAATTGTGGTTTTTGGCTGGATCCAGAAAATTTTTTTTGTTGATAGTCATTTCGAATAATTCAATTGATAAAGACAGAGGAATGTTCAATTATTTTCTTTAATTTTAGATAATCAATTCTGCAAAAGAGCTATAATCACACAAAAGAGATTTCAAAATTTCACCATTGGAAATTAAAGAAGGAACATCATCGTTATTTTATTGACCTACTGCTGACAGGTGCGGCGACCGGGATCTCTATTTCTATTTCTAAAAAAGTGTAGAAAAAAAGTACCACACGACTATTTCTAGGGATTTTGCTGCCTCCGAGTACTTTTAAAAATCCTGCAAAGGTTCCACAAATTTAGACTAACAGTCTTGAAACAGAAACTTACGATTTCTTGGACTCTGAATTCTGGAGAGCTCAAATCGCTGGGACTTGAAGATCCGGATGACATAGGAGACTGAGGTGACGGGACTGGTTGTAGCTCACCGGGCAGCTGAAGAGAGGAGGGTGGATGATAAACCGCCTCAACGCCAGCACCGACCGGTCCACTTTCTACAAAACGACAAGGAAAACAAATTAGAATTGACAAAGAGTTGAAAAACAACAAAAAAACAAAAATCAAACTAAAAAGGGAAAAAGGGGGGAAAAAATTGGACCATTATTTTCCGTTCATCAGGTGTAATAAACAATATATTTATGAAATTATTTTTAAAAAAATCTGATTGCATTACCCAGATTAATATAAATAAAAAAAAATAAATCTTCAGATATATTTTTACACTTTTCATCTTGGACTTTTACTTGTGCATTTTTCAATCACATTAAACACTCCGACAATCGAATTTTAAATAATGGCAAACAGCGTACTTCAAAATGATTTCATTTTCAACTATTGATGTTAAACTTTCTTGAAACTTTAAAACTTGACGTACTGGTAAAATGCTGAAGTGAAGGCAGCAAATTGACTTTAATGGTGGTGCCACAACTTTTTGAGCCTTAAAATTAAGGAAGTATTGCAGTGAAGAACATTCACCCAGCGACAGGATTGAACACCAATTTGTAATAAAATCAGAGAGAACAAAAAATGAATCTTACTTGAAGAGATGTCGGATGAGATGACTTCTGATACAAGGTCACTTAGCGAAGAATATGAGGAACTTGTACTGTCAGCGACTTCTGAATCAGACCCGCTCTCATCTGAAATTAATAAAAATTGAGAAGAATGCAAGATTTGAAAAACATTTCGAAATTGTGTAAAGTGAAATAGTAAAACAAAATATTGTGAGAAAATGTATAAATTGATTCCCCCCCCCCCCCCTGCTTCTTTCTTTCTCTCCGCCCTCCCCTTCCGATAAAAGAGGGGCGTTGCAATAAACTTAAGTTTCGCTAAAATTTCAAATTCAGTATGATATTCTCTTTGAAATTGTTGGAAACGTATTTTGAACAGTTTTTTTAAAGACTTTATGAGTTGTTTTATCAATGTATTCAACACTCCTGGTTTTGGTTTATCTATAGGAACAATTCAAAGCCTGAGTACAAAAAATGTGCAACTCAATTGCACAGTTAAAAAATCTCCTATTATGTCTCATTTTCATCAAAAGGTGCTAGTCAAAATATTTCCTTGCGCTTTTCTGTGAATGTTTCAGAATGCGAGGGAAAAATTCAGAGAAAATTTCAATAAAAACCGTTGGTTAGTTCTCCTTTAAAAAATAAAGCGTGAGCAAAGACTTACATCACAATCTGAGATGGATATTTTTCAACTTTAACCGTCAAATTATATTATTTTAAATTATTTCATCATTATTTTGAATCTTTTGATTGACAAATCAATGTAAACTATGTAAATTTAGACCAAAATTGACAATTACCAGTAGGTTGTTCTTGCTGCGGCATATGTTTCAATACTCCTCCAAGAGAGCTTGCATCGTCCCAAACAGAGAATTTAACACACTCTAAATTGCTTGCAAACCACTTAGCTTTGTCTCCAATCTGCGAAGGATCGTAGATACCATTATGGACTCGCAGAAATACTTCATTGCTTGGTGTTAAGGACCATTCAGCTAAAAATTCCACAGCCTGGAAAAAAAATAGATTTGATTAAGACAACAACAAATTACACCTAACATTATTGAGAATAATTTGTGAAAATAGACGGAGTAATATGCTTGCCAGAGATAAAGAGAGGAAAAATAAGAAAAAAATTGGATTTTAAATTTTTTAAATGAATTGTGATGGATTTTTGCGGTACAAACTCTGGAGGATTTATCAAAAGTAGTACTAGTAAAAGTAGTTTCAGGCATAGAAATTGTAAAAAATCATTAGATAGATGATGTTTCCCGTGAATACAGCATTGAAACTCCTAATTTGTTGTGCTCATGTTCGTTAAAATAGAGTCCTGCTGAAGACACATGGTTATTTTGTAATGACAAACCAGCCTAAAGGATGAACTTTTGATTCAATTATTACAATGCTAAATTTCCATAAATTTTCAGAGTACATTTTCTTAAAATCAAACTTATTTACAAGTCACCCTTTTGCAAATCTGATGTATTTTGTTAATTACAGATATGAAAAAAAAATTATCTTACCTGACTTCTTGCAAATTTACTGATAAATTGAGTAATCCTAGGTCTAGAGTGTAAAAAACTGTTGATCTGCAGAGCCACAACTGGCCGTGGGTAAAGTCTTAAGGTTCTCGTATGCTCCATAAAATTGCCAAGAAGATTACTAGAATTAAAAAATCGAATCTGAAAAGGAAAAGAGTGAAAAAAATTAATGATTTAAAACCAGGAAAATGAGAGCTCTAGATACAACTTTAGCAAAAACGACGCGCTACTAGAATCTTGGAAGCTAATGTTCGGAGCTATAGAGACAAACACTGTAAGTAACTTTGACTGACTGATTTTGTCAAAAAATTTCTACAAAAATGCAGTGTAAAACAAGTAGATAAATAGTAAATTAGTAATTAGTAAATAGTAATTAGTAATGAAATACTAAAAAAAATCTGCAATCCTGCACTGAAGAGTGGAACTTTTCCAGAGAAAGAAAAAGAAGAATCAAAAGGAGAGAGATGAACCTCAAGTACTTTGTTATTTGACGGAAGTATAACAAATTCACTTTAAGTATACAATAAGATAACTTACCATTGCAACCCTGGTAGCAATATCAACAGAATCAACATCATTTCCGTACAAGAAGGGATTTGTGGATTGCGAGTGAATGTTTGGTAACGAAGGCCTGGTTGAAAAAATAAAAAAAAATTAACTATATTATTGGATGAGTTTGGAAAAAAAATTAATAATTCCTATTAAAATTAGATCTTGTGTAATATTGAAGTGATATGGTGTTACTACTAATACTGCAATACTACTACTTGAATACGCAACTACTAAAACTCAATTTGCCTTTTAAGAATTTGGGAGTCTGTTTCAAAAAGGTTAGTTGTTGCTGCAAGGGTTAAAATATAATGGAAGAGACAAAAATCAACGTCTGAAAAGACATTAGTACTACAATTTTTAAAAAAATAGAAATATACAGATCAAACTCCTTCGCAACTTGTAAATGCTTCAAATTTTCATGATTGACTCAAAGTGAATAGGTGGTCTTGCTGAAACACTCTACAGGCACGAAGTAAAAAAGAATAGAGAAGGAAGCAGACCTCAAAAAAATTTTGACATGTTCTTCTGCCTTTGGGTAAATTAACATATTTTTAAATGGAAGTAATTATAATCTGCTGGTAGGTTCCAAATTGAATTCATTTAACTTGAAGAGCAAAAACAAAAGAGGATGGATTGGAAACTTACCGCTGATTTTCTGAGGATTGAAACTGACTCGAAGGTTCTGATAGACTTTTGAGTGCCTGTAAAAAAAAGACCAACAAATTAAAAAGGGGGAAAAATCATGATTCTTTTACATCCAAAAAATTCTGGTCTCAAAACTTAATTTGAATTTCTTTTTTTTTATGGACGCGAAGGAATCATACAGGATGGAGTAATTTTGGAAATTACGAAACTTTACAAAAGAAAGATCAAAAGCTTAACCCTGAACTAAATGATTGCTTTGACTATTTGAAAGATATTTCCTCTCTTTTGGAAATAAATCCATGTTAACGATGAGTTGGACGTATTTATGCAAAGAAGAAGGAGAGCCGGGTGGGAAAGAAGGAGTGTCCTCCTTAGATGATGGTCATGAAAATGAATGGGAATTATTAAGCGCTAGTGACATCAGCATCGAAGATAAAGACCCACACACCTTTTGATTCATGAGCCCTGTCCACAACGCTCTTGACACATGCCAACGGCTCATGAATTAGCATATTTTGATGATTAGCTCCTTTTGATTTAATGTCAAATCCCACTTTTCCATTTTCCCGAAAGGAATCATGGCCACTTTTACACTGTTTCTCATTCAGTTCAAATGAGCAGATCCCATCTTTCCCACACATCTCTGGTTCCTTTCAGATAAAATAGTCCAGTTTTGGTACCAACCTCCGATAATTTAACAATCTCTTTTGTATTGAGTACAAAGATAAATTAATTATGATAATAATCTTTTTGGAGTTGGATTATACAAACCTGATTTAAATGGTTCTTCAGAATTGAACACTCGGGCTCAGGTAAAGGCGGAACTTCTTCTCTACAACCACTAGGTGGAGTGATACAATTTCGACTAGAATCTAAATTAATAAGCCATACGTCATCAGGTAACCTGGAAAATAAAAACAAAGGAAAGGTTATTCCAGAGGGGAAGAAAATGAAAGAATGTAGAGTATTGAGGAGAAAAGGACGTCGACCAATGAAACTAATTTGAAGAAATACCTTAAATTCAAAATTTAAGTAACATTGTTGCATATTACAGGGGGACATTCATTAAAATTGTTCATTATTTTGTTGTAATTTTTGAACAGAGTTTAAATAACAAAAAAGCAACAAGTCACATCAAGTTTGAACTGAAAAAAAGAGGTTTGAAATTTCAAACCCTCCATGAGACTTAATGTTTAGAACAACGCTTGGCGACAATTTTCATTATCAAAATTTTAGTTCTCAATTTTGAGTTTGAAACAGGGGAAAATTTACAAATCGTTAAATTTAGAAGTAATCCTGACTCATTTTTTTTTTCTTTCAAAATGCATTTCACTTAAACTCGGTTGAGTTGTTAATGTAAGTATGAAGTTAAGTTTTATCAATTATTCTGCATACTCTACACGAACAAACTGCTGATTAAAAGGGCAAAAAAAAGCAGACTTACTGAAAATTTCTTTTCGTCATTAGAAAATTCTCCGGTATTCCAATGACATAAGGGGTGGGCGCCAGCAGTAACTGCAAAAATTAGGAAGAAGAATCAAACAATCTGCCACATTTTTATAAAATTGCCTAAAATTCCTCTATATAAAAATTATTTCTTACAGTCTAATGTTCCTCACTTTATCTTTTTTAGTGTAAATTCTACAGACAATGAGACAGGAATAGGAATATCTTAATTAAAGCTGCTTAAATGGAGCCATTTGCATACTTTAAAATATTTTAAAGCTTTTATCAAGAGTCAACAGATTTTGAAAACAGTCAATTTTTACTACAACTTTCCAAGATAACTGTATCAAAATTTTTGGGCAAGAGCTTTGACAGACTTCTTGAAGGGCGGTAAATTTTAAGGCAAAAGCCAAAACATTGGCGTATTAAATTGTATTAAAGTATGGGTAAAAATAGAAAGAGGTCGGCTTACCTGCTCAGCACAAGCCATACAGGAAGGAAGCAAAGGTATCACAGGAAACATATACTCTAATGGATAAATTAGCGCTACAAAAGACATAACGCACATTGATAGGGCGTTGTAATTTTTAGACTGAATCACCAACTGTGAACAAGAAAATAAACAAAAAAGAAGTTAAGAAAGCGAGTAAGTTGGTGGTACAAACCAAATCACGTTGATTTGTGGGGAAAAAAACCAGAGATGAACAAGATATGAATTAGAATTCGAGCCGAAAGAACTCTAAACAGAAAACTAGATATTGGGCTAAATTTTGTTGTTGTTATAAATGGCGCTTTTTACAACGTCTTGCATATGAGGGATCTTCTTTCTTCTACAGCCAGGTGGATTAGGCCGATAAACATAATCTAACGCCTCTGAATGACAACGGTGTACAGCACAGCAGCGAAACACACAGAGATTGGCACAAGCCTAATTGAAAAACGCATGTGAGAATGGTGAAAAAAGAACTTTTCAGTCTTCTTGTTTCCTTGAAAACGACACACAGATGGTTCAATTTCAAAAAGGTTTTCATGCTCAGGAGATCATGAAGAATATCATTAAAGGATAGAGATATTAGCCACTGCAGTGCCGAAATCTATGGGATTCTGAGCAGGGTTCTTCATAATTTTTGTTTGTTTGTTTGAGAGTTACCTATGGAAGGAGAAAGATTGAAACTAGTTTTAAGTTGAAAAAGATGAAAAAGTATACTGAAACACGCATATTGTTGAATAAGGTTTAATGGCTTGGACAATATGCGTTATTCAACAATATATATAACGTCATATATATTCAACAATATGCGTGTTTCGGTATACTTTTTCATCTTTTTCATCTTTACCATAACAGCCTGCGAGATGCGTTTTTCCAGTTTTAAGTTCTTAACTAGTAGGTTCCGAAAAGTGGAAACAGCAAAAAACAAAAAAAAAAAAAAAAAAAAAAAAAAAAAAAACAAACCTTGTGTTCTAATAAAATGAGAGAAAGTACGTTGAGGCATGTGTCCACGCCGAGTAATTCTAAAGGCAAGTGAAGCGGAAAATCGACTAGGGCAAATCTCGTGTGGTCTGGTAAACAAAACATGAACGGTGAGTGGAGATGCGGAGATAAAACTTCCACCTGCAAAAATAAGTTAGACAAAACGATAAAACTTAATAGGTTCAGGTTTACAAGAGATAAAAAGCTTTATCAATCAAATAAAATTTAAAAACTGAATATTTTCGCCGGTTCTCTTGTTGGAAGAAGATTAGATCACAAATTTTCAAAACTGTAAATGTGAAGGAATAATGTTGTTATACTGACAAATAAGACTAAAAGTCAGGAAATTTTATTTTTTGCTCAGAATTTGGACAAACAACACTCATCGCCTCACATCTGTTGCGTAAGTAGCTAACTTGAACTACGTATAAGAGTGAAACATGAAATTTTATTTAAAATAGGCTAATGTTCATTCCTTTTTCAGATTAGTTTAAATTTTTTATCGAAGACAAGGAAATTTTGAATTTTCTAATTTTTCTAAATAGGTATCGATGGCTGTGATATAAAAATTTAAAATCTCAAGATTGCAATGCTATAAGTCTTTGCTGATACAGTATTCTCTTACTGTAACAACACTCATTATAACACAAATCTCTCTTTTACAAAGGAATCGCCTGGTCTGTTGAACGATTTTCTCGCTATAACAAAAATCTCTCTTTTGCAAAGGAATCGCCCGGTCCCTTGCCGATTTGTTATAGCAAGAGATTAGTTTATTTCCCTTTTTTAACGGAAAACTAAAAAACACTAAGTACAGCTTCTGATTAAATTGTTTGGGAATTTCCTTTGCTCATTCTAAAGAAGTCACACAAAATAGCAAAGGAGGCATTGTGATTAGTTTCTCTTCAGGAAAATAAAACGTAATCAAAGATTACCCACTTTTCACATTTAACCATTGATATTTTCAAAAGTACCGCGGTTTCTTCATTTATGAGAGTTTTACTCTAAAGAGATAAAAATCTAAATTTTTCATGATTTTCTCAACGGACAATATATTTCCATCGTTTTTTCTTTACTAACTAAAGTTTTTCATGCTTATGGTTTTAAAGGCTTTTCTGTTGCTTGCAAGCTTGTTCTGGATGCGCATTTCCTTTCAGAGCATTGGTTCATGATAAGAGTAAAAACTACAAGGCGAGAATACACATCTAATTATCAGGTTATTCATGGGTTAGTTTACAAACCTCCACTCTAGTTTTGCCAGGAACAGGAACTGGGGCACTAAGCAACCTTAGAATCCACATTTCTATTTCTCTAACATCGTGCAGAACAATAGAGGAAGCTCCTTCTATTGGTCTACCAGTTAGTACACTCCATACACTATCCCTGAAAACAGAAATTTTTTTCATTAGATCACATTATGATTTCTGATCATTTGCGAGCAGTGTAAGTGAAAGTCACAGAAACTACATTCAATACCATGCTTTGTCTTGTGACCCATTTTGAAAGTCTAGGTAGATTCTAGAAAGGTTCGGGACAATCACGTTATCTGTAGACTCAGGAGAATATAATTTCCTGACTTTTCCAGGTTTCCCTCGACTGAAATGATGAAAACTCTTCTTCTTTTCATACCGACAATCCGCATATGTCGAATTAAGAGGGAACAATTATTGGCATTGATCTCACTGTAGATGCCTTTTTGGGAATTTTTGCAATTGAAAATATTGCTTTTCAAAACATAGATTCATTGCGGAAACAAAGACCAATACAGTATACAATTATCCCAACAAACTATTCATCCTAACAATTTCCACAGTCCATTTCCACAGTTAACTTCCACATAAATTTTATTACGGTGAAGTATGAATAAAGGGTATGAGAGCTTATGTAAGTGAACATCTCTGCCAATCCTTCCATACTTTTTTCTTTTAATGAGGATGGATAGTTAATTCATTTCAGACTACTTCTGTTTTCAAGAGGGACAAAATTGCCACTTTCATACGTTCACTGTTTTTACAATATTTGTGCGTATTGAGAGTTTATGAGAGACGAGATCAGAAATTTAATTTCTTACCTACTAAGTTGTCTACATGCACCAACTCTTCGCGGTGATGCATTTCCATTGCAAGCATCTATCAGTCTTTTCAAAATTAATAAACATTCCCTAAATGTAGAAAAGAATGGGTGGTGGGATAAAAGGCACAGTGAAGTTAACGAGTGATTCCGCAGTTTCTGAAAAAAAAAAAAGAATTACGAGAAAAATCATCATTACTTTCATAGATGGAGAAAATATCACAAAAATTAAAAACTCATCTTGTAATATTTGGAAACTGAGATTGCCTCAATGTCTGAGATCGCCTTGGTCACAGAGGGTGGATTTCAATGAAATTTAAAAATGTATCATACATCGTTAATTTCATGGACGATAGCCTTGAATTTTAATTTTTCAATGTTTCAGAGAAACTTCATTCCGAGACTGCATGAAATTTTGTGTAAAATGTCAAATTCTTATTATTCATGAAATTTTCTACTTAAATTAGGAGATAATACTATCTACCATCACCATTCCATAAATATCAAAACTTTGGAAATTTGACCTCGATACCCTTCGATTTCCCACAAGATGCTGTTGACGAGGCAAATAAATAGGGAAAAGATGCAAATAGAAAAGTAAGAGGTAATTTCGATTTTGAATTCTATGCAACCCTAATATGACATTATAATCCTTCGCCTCTTGAAGATGCAAAAAATATGAGGAATATTGCGAAATGCAGATAGATTACTGAATCACTTATCGCTATTCGTAAAATAGTGCAAATGGGATGAAAAAGGGAAAAATAGTACGGATAATAGCAATCTTTCTAAAGAATGGATTATGATTAATTTTTACATAATACTTTGAATACAATTCTACATAAAAGTGAGGATAAAATATACCTTGACCACAAAAGGTTTTGATTCTTTACCTGTCTCTTGCGACTAGCTCTGGGAGACGGAGAATGGGATCCACCGCTTTCCGAATCATTTCCTGGCAGGGGCGCAGGAAAAGATACCAGCCTAGACAGTGGATAGTCTGAGTCCCGTTTGCTCGGAATATCCCTCTCAGAATCGCTTGGAGCTACATTACTTTTATAATCACTGAAATCGTGAAAGAGAAAGATATGAGTAATTATTCATGCACAGCTGATAAAGCTGCTGTTAAAGTTCAACTTGACGTTGTGTGTTTTTATTTTGTACCAAGATTTTCATTAAAAGCTCTTTATAAATCGATATCAAGACCTTGATTTAAATTTTTTGGTAATACTTACCTATCCTTTTCTTGCAAAGAGCGGCATTTGTATTTTTTAATCGAAAAAAATTTCTAGTGCCATTTACTCAAATAATAATATACTTGAAAAATAGGATGGTAGGATAGGTTTGAAAAAACTCCAACTTGATACCTTTGAGCTCTGTATGGCATTGATGAAACAATTTTTAAAATCTGTGAATTTACTGATAGGTAAAAATTATCAAAAATAATTTCATCAAAACGTCTGAAACTTAGATTTGGTGGCAGTTTGGAACTATGGGAAATGAGGCTTTGTCCACACAATCGCGGTTCTCGGAACTTCAGGTGAACTTGTTCACAGAGCTTATTGTAACTCACCTATAACTTATTCCGAGCAATAGCTCCGCTAAACCACAACTCCTTGAACTTATTCGCCCAAAAGTTCTGCGAGCCACACTTGCGTGGACAAGGTCGAAGCTTTAAAAAACAGGTTGGAGGTGTTTTAAAACCTTCAAACTCATAAACACAAAACTATGAGGTTAAACTCACCTAGAAAAAGCAGAATCAGAACTTTTCTCCATACTTTTGCACCATGATTCTCTGCGTAACTGACGGTCTCGATTCGAGTCTCCACTTCTTTCAATTGGTCTATAAAAATTGACGCAAATTCCATACCTACATTTGCCTGCAATTTGAACAAATGAATATAATTATGGATAAATGTACAGACTAGAAAATTTATAGCATACGTTTATACCTTTATAGGAGATCTAGACAGGGTCTAAAAAAACATGAAAAATGAATTATTTTTTGATGAATTTTCAGCTCTGTTATGCATATTTTCTAGGTTTTTTGTTGAAGTTTTTTGTGATCATTTAAGACCAATACATCATGAAAACTCTAACTATGTTAATCTTGAAACATAAAGATTGACCAAGGAGCTGATATAAATGTTTCAAACAACTCAATTTAACACAATGAGTTTTGGGTGTTTCCATCATCGATGGTAAAATTTTAGAAATGTGTATCTGGGTTTGGAGCGTTGCAGATTTCCTGCCATACTTCATTCTCTACATGAAACCCTCTGAACATCTATTCTTGAAAACTTTCATAAATGTTCTTCTCTTTGTATAAATGATGGATGCAGTGAAAAATTCAAGCCATGATTATGGTATGGTCTCTTTTTAAGAAGTAAAATGAGAGCGGACATGTTGAAATGCGGCAACCCAAGTACGCATTTTTGCAGTTTCAGCATTGTTATGTTGTATCAAGCTAAGTCACACTTTTAAGGATCAAGTAAAAATAAATTTAAGGAGTAGGATGCAACAGATAGGGAATGGATCTCATGTCGCAAAAATAAATTACTCTTGTTTCATCCTTAATTGAGGGGCTTGGAGGACAAGGAGCATAAGTGCAATCTGTGAAAAAATTGAAATTGTAATGATTTTAAGTAAAACTAGTTTTAATGCATGTTCTGTCCAAAAGATCCATTCTGCTCATTGATGTCCATTTCTAATTCGCTTAAAAATTTCAATTTTTAAGCATCAAAAAGTCAGTTTGAACTTTCTTTCCACCATGAAGATCCATGTAATTTCGAAACTTCAAACTTGTATTTCTCGAGAGAGCAGAAACTGCACTTATGCGCCTTGTCCTCTAAACCCCTCAATTGAGCATTTCCACTTTTCCTGAAGGATTTAATGCAAGACTTCAAAATGCGTTACCAATAGGATGTGTTCATGATTATTTATCAGAAAAATTTAAAATTCGTGTGAATTATATGATGGAATTTTTTTAAAAAAAGTGCGTCCTCAAAGGTGATAAATGGTATCGGCTGCTATGAAACGGTAAAATTAAGAGAACCAATTTTATTCGGTAAGTATAGAGAACTTTACGTGTGCCTGAGGGAAAATTCTTACCTGAATCTTTATCCGTTAGAGTGAACACAAAAGAGTAAGCATCCTTGAGAACGGTTCGCCGAGGTCCGATGGAAATGCATCCCTCTGGCTGACAAAAATACACCATGTCTAAAGGCATTGGAAAATCTTTGTGATCCTCAGCCGGATACCGCCGCAAAAGCTCCGGTAACTGTCAAACAAAACAAAATAAATAAATCAATACAAAATTTTTAGAGGAGAGATAGGAATTTAGGTCATGTTTCATACATCTGTGAGAAAACAATATTCAAGGAATTTTAGGGAATTTTAAAAATTTTTGCTGGGTGTTTCCAAGCCTTTCGGCTCCAGGGTATCTACTAAAACTGGCTGGCAAAAATTAAGTGCTTTTACAGTACCTTTCCAAAAAATTCAGTACCTCATATGCAGAAGAATTCAATACTTGTTGAGCACCTTTAAGTTGATTGTTGATTTGAGTTTCTATTATTTAGTTTTATTTCTTACCGCTTGTTTGCTTTTAATTCTCTTATAAAAATTATCCGTTTGCTAAATGCAATCTTAGCTTGAACACACTTAAACTGTGCGGTCAAAGCTGCAAAGGCGGCAGAGGAAGGCTGGCGTGGAGGCTACTTCGATTTAATATGAATCTATCGCCATCGCATTGCTAAGGCGCAATGATGCAACTATTCGCACTCTCCGGAATGCGTGAGGTATCACGCCGCAATTGAAGGCGTTTCAAGACTACAAACTTTACACATCGGGATTCTACAGTCGCATGAAATTCGGAGCATGAGATGAATAAAGTGACTGATATCACGAGCTAGTGCAACAATTATGCACACAACTCCTCGTTTTAATTTTTTGTTTATAGCTTCCGTTCCAGTTGATAATGAGCGAGTAATTTGCTCGGATGTATTTTCGTTCTATTTAAGCTTCCCATACACATTTTTACTGTCTTCCTCGTATTTTTTTGTTGATAATAATTCGATATAAATCTTCCATCGCATTGCTAAGCAGAGGCGGATCCAGCAATTTGGCACCGGATTTTCTCCATAGATTTAAACCTATGCTAAATAATCGATTCGTGTTGGAGCACCTGCCCCCTCCGAGAATCGATAAATTTCCATATGTTTAAATGGAGAGAAGACAATGTTGCTAAGGCGCAAGGATACAACTATTCGTACTCTTCGGAATGCGTGAGGCATCACGCCACAATTGAAGGCGTTTTCCGAACTGCCGACTTTCCATGTAGGGATTCTTGTGTCGCATAAATAGAATGCCTACTAAAACTGGCTGGCAAATATTAAGTACTTTTAATACTTTCTCAGTACATTCCCAGTGCCTTTCCAAAAAAATCAATACTTCCTAAGCAGAAAAATACTACTACTTATGCAGTGCTTTTTTGGTACCTTAGAAAGAGGAAATTCGAAAATTGTCGACATTCGCGCGCAAATCGCGAGAAAAATTACGTAACTGGGAACTTTGAAGCTCACTGGTGGCCTTAGGATCAACTGGCTTCACGATAACGATCTAGGGGGAAAATACTTCACTAAAAATCATTGCGCAACGGATTACATATTTTCCGGGCTGTTTTAAAAAACGCCCGTGGGATGAAACAACAAACTCTGAATCTTTATAGGCAATGACCGTACTTTTTCAGTACTTCCAAGCGCCTTTTAAAGATTAGTACCATTTCCGGACTTTCCGGACCGGTAGACACCCTGAACTCAAAATACGAAAATTTCCACCAAACTTTTCGAAGAAATTTTGGATATTCATGATATCTTTTCCTTCCGATGACAATTCACCAAAAAAAAACCCGCATGGCAAGTTCCTAAAATACACTCAAAGTTATTCTGGAAATTAGCAAAAAATCAGCGGAATGCCGAGGTTCAGAAGATAATTCATTAAATTAGCGAAAAGAGGGAATTATATTTAAAAGCTTATCTTTCGGCATAGCTATTGCTGAGAGGTGAATGAAGACACGAGATTTGATTAGAGCGGCTATTTCAACCGAAACTTCAAGTAGGGTGACCGCAGATAATTAGAATAGGAAAACCCAGGCTGTTTCAGGTCTCTATTGTATAATTTCCATACAATCCCTTAACGTTTGAGATAACACGAGGTGAACGAGGTAACAATTTTCGATCCGGCCAAGAAAAGAGCCGAAACAAGCGACTCAACAACCTTACAACTTCTTCAACTTTTAGATTCAACTTTTTCCCGACTTCTGAATCATGTTTTTCTTTTTCCATAACTTCTCTCGGTTTTCAGGTTTCCCATGGCTGTGGCCATCCTGCTCAGACTTTCAGAGGAGTAAAAGTTGTTGGAGGGAGCGAAAACTTTCATCTCATTTCAGAGAATATGACTTGCAGTTCGGTCTAAAGTGCTGAACATTTCAAGGGAAAATACGACATAAATATTCCTCAAAAATAAATAACTTTATAAAAAAAAACTGGCAACATCCGAAAGTTCATGCGGCGCTTTTTCACGGCACGGCAGCCCGGTCCACCGACGATGACGTCTTTCCGAAGAAAAAACAGATGATAAGATACTGAAAAAGAGAAGAACTAGAGGAACAGGAAGACTTTATTTTTCTTCATCTTTTTCTAAATCTCCTCTTTTTTCTTCGTATTTCGATTTGTAATGCGCCTCCGTACGTCATGTGATAGGAGCCCTAAGCTACTGCACATAAGGTTTTTTTATCTCTTTTTTTTTTCTTTTTTCTCTTCCCCCCCCCCCCCCCAGAACTATTCCCATGTGGATGTGACATACAGCTTTTGTTCAATTTCATCCAATTATGACAAGCCTTGGGTCTAAAAGACGGAGTAGGGCACACTGGTTAAGCACACTGGGCTTCATTTCTTGGCTAGATTCCCTGTTCGCCTTAGAGATTAACTTTCCTGAGACTTTAATATCTTTTCCCATCTTCGGCTCCATTCGCAATCAACCGGAGCGGCACGTGTTGCTTCTTCGCAGAAACGGAAAATACGAATAACGGCCCTGCCACACTGTATGGTCATTGGTCACACTGCTCCCGTGCCGTAATTTTAGGATTCTCATAATTGCTTCGGTGATTTGTCTTCTCTTTGTAAAGAATATTCTGTGAAAACTTCAACAAGTTGTGTACTGGTTCGGAAAGCCCGTAAATAGTACTGATTACTTGGGGGCGGTCTGAAAATGCAGAAAAAGTGCGGAAACTCCCTATAAAAGTCCGGGATTTTTTGCTTCATGTTACGGGTGTTCTTAAAACAACCTGGAAAATATGCAATCCGTTGCGCATTGTTTCTTAACGCAGTATTTTTCAGCTGGATCGAGATTTTAAAGCCAGCTGATCCTCAGGCCACCAATGAGTCTCTTTTTCTCGCGATTTGCGCGTGAATTTCGACAATTTTCGAATGTCGCCACTGTAAGGTACCGAAAGATTACTGCATTAATCTGCTCATGAGATACTGAATAAGAACTGTGAAAGGACTGAATATTTGCTAGCCAGTTTTTATGTACACCCTATTATGCAACACAAGGATCCCGATATGGAAAGTCGGCAGTTTCGAAAACGCCTTCAATTGTAGCGTGATACTTCACGCATTCCGAAGAGTACGAATAGTTGTATCGTTGCGCCTTCGAAATGCGATAGAAGATTAATATTGAAGTAATCTCCTAGCCGCGCCGGCCCTGTCGATTTCCCCTTGCTGCTATTGCAGTTTTGACCGCATAGTTTAAAAGTGTGCAAGCTATGTATTTAACAAATGAATAATTTTTACAGAAGAATTAAAAATTAACAATCGGTAAGGAATATAACTAAAAAAAAGGAACTCAAATCAACGATCAACTTTGCCAAACGAGTATTGATTTTTTCTGCTTATGAGGTACTGAATTTTTTAGAAAAGTAGTGAAATAGGACTGTGAGAGTACTTAATTTTTGCCTGCCAGTTTTATTAGACACCCTGTTCAAGCCATGCTGTTGATTCGGTCATAGGCGGTTCTAGACCTTCATGCTTGGGGGTGCCCAGAGGTGGAAAATGCCGGAGACCTGTCCCGAAGGGTACGGTCGCTTAGGGGAGGCCTATGTCTCGGCCCTCAAGTTTTATCCCTTTCTTGCCCTCCTTTCTCCTTTTCTCACCTTCCTTTTTACTGAAATACCTATAAATTCAATGTAGAAAATTTTCAGCAAAACTTTCCATCAAAACTACAATCTTACCATAAAAAAACAGTAAAATCTTTGTAAAACACGGCTATCAATATTTATTATGTTTAAAAAAATTTCAATTAATTGCTGGGATTTTTTCTCAGTGTGAGCGAATACAGAATCTTTAAAAGCAGTAATGTCACGGTTCCGATAACCGTGCTTAATTTTTGCTTGGGGGTGCCCGGCACCCACTGGCACCCCCGTAGAACCGCCTATGGATTCGGTCTCACTTTGAAAAATAAAATAGCAACAGAGGTTTCGAAACACCGCAAGCTACGCATTCCGCCGTAACTGACCGTAACCGTAAAACTGGCAGGAAAAAAATTAAGTACTCTCACAGTACTATTTCAGTACCTTTCTAAAAAATTCAGTACCTCATAAGCAGAAAAATTCAATACTCGTTTGGCACCTTTAAGTTGATTGTTGATTCGAGTTCCTTTTATTTAGTTATATTCCTTACCGATTGTTAATTTTTAATTCTTCAGTAAAAATTATTCATTTGCTAAGTACAATCATAGCTTGCACATTTTTAAACTATGCGGTCAAAACTGCAATAGCAGCAAGGGGAAATCGACAGGGCCGGCGCGGCTAGGAGATTACTTCAATATTAATCTTCTATCGCATTTTGAAGGCGCAACGATACAACTATTCGTACTCTTCGGAATGCGTGAAGTATCACGCTACAATTGAAGGCGTTTTCGAAACTGCCAACTTTCCATATCGGGATTTTTGTGTCGCATAAGAGGGTGTACATCAAAACTGGCTAGCAAATATTAAGTCCTTTGCCAGTTCTTATTCAGTATCTCATGAGCAGATTAATGCAGTAATCTTTTGGTACCTTACAGTGACGAAATTCGAAAATTGTCGAAATTCACGCGCAAATCGCGAGAAAAATCACGTAGCCAGAAAATTCGAGGCTCATTGGTGGCCTGAGGATCAACTGGCTTTAAAATCTCGATCCAGCGGAAAATTACTGCGTTAAGAACCAATGCGCAACGGATTGC